AGGGAATGGAATAATACTAAAATGAAAAAAAGCCGTACTTCTGCAAGTTCCATATACCTTTTTTTAAAAAAATAGATTGGTATATGTCGTAAGAACGTGAATTAAGAAATTCTAAACAAAAAATTGTAAGTTTATTATTTAAAAATAAAAAATGAAAAGCGGGGCTCAGTCCTATCAGTTCTTCTCCAGATTTTCTCAGAAAAGGATTGGCTCAATTTTGATCTATCATAGCGCCGCTGGGAGGCGAACCCCCGATCTCGTGGACGACAGGCAAGCGTCTTGCCGCCTGCGCCACGGTCAACGGTTGCTTCGTTGAGTGTTGAGGGGCACTACCCCTGCGCGCTATTGACCTGTATTGTGTGGATAGATTGGAAATTGAAAAAAAGACGATTTTTCGCTTTGAATGCAATTGAGATAGCGAAAAGAAAACAATATTATAGAGGAAATTCAAGATTCTCTTGAAAACGCAAAAAAATTTCTTTTCTGGAAAAAAATATTCAAATTCAACTCTTTTTCTTTCTTATGTTCTTAAATTTGTTAAAATTAAGAAAAAAATAAGACTAGAAACTTTATTGAAGTTTTTCCAACGCCTATCTAAGAGTTTTCTTATTTAAAAAAATTTCATTGAAAAAATCCCCCAAAATTGATCTAAACAAAAGTTTACACAAATATTATTCCAAAGGATCGGATTGTCACCTCAACAAGATAAACGGCGATGGCGAGATTTCACAGCGGTCAAAGATTTACGACAGGTTAAAGCATTGGTTTGGTCGAGGAGAAGCTGACGAAAATACAGGTGTTCGCCTCGATTCCTACACAGAAACGAGCAAAAGATTTACGATTGGTTTGACAAATAGCTCGAGAGAGTAAAGGTGTGAAGTTGGCGCTAAATTAAAAAAAAGGATTTTTGGAGCTAAAATATTCCAAAGTTGGTGTAGCACTATCTATTTATTGGGAAAGATAAACAATGGGGCAGGCATCTTGATGTCCATAATTTTTACACGAAAAGTAGAAAAATGAAATGCAAAAAAAAAAAAAAAAAAAAAAAAAATAAATTTGGGCCCTCAAGGCAGCACTTCAAATTGTTCTGTGGAGCGAACATTTCTTGGCATTAAAAAAAATTGATTACAATTTTTTTTGTCAAATTTTTTTATTTTTAATTATATTTGTTTTCCATTACCTATCGTTGTAAAGAGGTGCGTTTTTCCTAATTTTGAAAGCTCTTATTTGAGTAGAGTTTCTAGAACTTTTTTTCTATCCAGCTTGATTTTTCAATATCATTTTTTCACCGAATCAAATATTTATTTCAAATTTTGGAAGTTTTGTCGTGTTTTTCAATTTTATTTGAATTCCAGGTTGACCAAGTAGCGAATCTCGGATACAAGAATTTGGATCGCTTAAAAACTTGAAATCTACCTATTTGGGAGTCTCGGATACTTCTGAATGTCGTTTGTGGTAAGTCCTTGGTATTTTGTTGATTTCAAAAAAAAAATGCTAGTCAAATTGGTTTATTTTGTTAGAAAAGTGTTCAAAAAATGTGTTTTTATGCTCTTCGAATCCCTACTATTAATGGGACTGATTAGAAATTATTTTCTTCTTCAATGGTTTATGCCAAAAAACGCGTCATTCTTCTTAAAGGTAATGTCATTTTCGGCCGCTTCTTTGAACCGTTGCGAAAAAGCCGACACGAATGAACTTTTGCCTCGATTGGCGGCTTGATTCATTTTTTCTGTACTTTTTGAAAAAAAGACTGATCAATGATTTTTGCTTTGTTTTGTTGAATTAATAGATCATTCTGGATTTTTAGGTATAAAATTAGAGAAAAAAACATGAAGAAACTCGGAGAAGATGATATTTCATTTATCGACAAGGTAAGAATTAAGTGGTCACTTTAGGGACTTTAAAGGTTTAGTGGTTCTTATAGAAGAAATCCATACAGATTTAAGGCTTTGAAAGTTCCGGAAAACCTCAAATTTATCGCAAGTATTAAATTAGACTAGTTTTTTTTCAGAGGTTTATGAACTTTGGGGATTGAATACGGAGAGAAGTGGTCATTTAAGGGATTTGATGGATTCAGTGGTTTTTCGAGAAGAGAATCATACAGAATTAGAGCTATGGAAGTTTCGAAAATCCCGAAAGTTTTTGAAGGGGTGTGGTTTTCTAAATTTTAAGGGGTTTATGAACCTTTGGGCAGCGATACAAAAAGAAGTGGTCACTTTAGGGCCTTGAGGGGTGCTTCTAGAAGAACCTTATTTGATTTAAAAGCTCTGGTTTTTTCGAAAATCCCGAATTTTTCACAGTTTTTGGATAGTTTTTCTCAATTTTAGAGGGCTGTGAACCTCAAAAAAATGGTTAAAAATACATCATTTTGTTAAAAAAAGTCTTCTTGATTTTTTTGTCGATTTTTCCGATTTTAAATCCTATTTTATTGAAGTTTCAAGATTATATTTTACAAAAATGGAAATTTTTTTGAACCCATACCAGGAGAAATATAAAACCAGATTTCCCAGTCCCTCGGTCAAGTTTCCCCTGTTTTTTTTTTTCAAACAATCGTAGAACGTCAACTGTCTGTTACATTCTTCCTGGACTTTTTGTCCATCATTTTCTTTATCACCGAATTTATCACCCAGGCCGAAAAGACAGACTTTTTCCCCTCGGATTTATCGCACAAACAGTTGGGCGAACAAAAAAACGGCTGCCAAATGGCCGTTATTTACGATCGTTCGAACTTTTTCTTGGAGAGCGCTAAGAGACCACCTGTACTAATTTAAGGAACAATTTAGAAATTAGATTAATTTGTCTTCCTTATTTTTTTCGCATTTTCTGTCCGTTTTTTTAAAAAGCGTCCCTGAAAAATGTTCTCTATTTCAGTTTTTTTAGAGGAAAAAAACACTATTTAAATCGTGAAAAACGAAAAATGAGAAAAAAATTGAATGGGTCCCTTTACATCAGTTTCTTAATGGCCGTTTTTTACGACCATTCGAAAATTTTTCGACATTTTCTTATTGATAAAAAAGCAAAATACTGTTTCATATGAAATTAAAGAGCGGAGAAACATTTTTGGAAAAGTGGATCGTATTTTCCAACTGTTTGCATTACTTCTCGGCGAAAGCCAATTCAGGGTCGGGCGCGCATAAAAAGTCAGTTTTGATTCATTTTAATGCCTTGTTTAAGATTAATCAAAAATACCTTCTGACTCTCCAAAATTCAGTTATCTTTCCCACTCTCTGACCGCTATTCTGAATTTCGCGAAATTTATTTGAACCTAGCATTATTTTTCTTTTATGTTGTGTCTAGAATTTTTTTCCGTTTCCAGCCATATTTCACAGATTACAGTAACAAGATCCCTATAAATAAACAGAAAAAAAGGGAATTTTTTTGTTTCGCGTCGGGTCTTACAACGGCGAGACGCGCGAGAACGCCAATTGACCTCCAGACGTCACTTCCGAAGCTTTTTACACCCGGCTCCTTTCATTCCATCTTTATTCATCTCACCGACGTTTTTTTTTGTCTGTTTGGGAAGAAAAATAAGAATTATCCAACCGGAACCACATGAAATAATGGAATAAAACATTCAAAACTTGAGCTTTTCATAATTTTCCTGGAAGCTTCAGGCTTTTCTCCAACTAGGAACAGATTTTTGGCGGGCAATAAAGTTATAAAAACACTAATACTCTCTTGCGCAAGTAGTTTTTGGTCGGTTGCTGATTAGATAGCCATTCCAAATGCGTCTGTCGGCTTTACAAAAGATCAGTGTGGAAGCGATAACTTTCCGAGTTTTGGCCAGTCTCGAGCTTGAATTTTTGAAGCCCATTCTGTAACATTAGCAATAAGTTGCAATACTATGGATTTTCGGATTTGAATTCAGAGAATTTCAAAAACAAATTGCGATCGACAAAAACAAAACTTTTTGAGAACAAATATGGGAGCTGAAACTGTAATGTTGTCTTAATAGTTCTTCATTTGTTTTTCAATTCGCGAAAAGGCTCGAAATCTCAATTTTGGGTCGCTGTTAAACCTTTATTTGCATACATATATTATAGATAGAATATATAGAAAAATCTGAGAAATGGAAAGAATAAAAAGGTCTGAAAAAGCTAGTCCCGAAGCAGAGGAGAAGAAAAAGCAACTTTCGATGGATGGAAAAAAATCAATAATTACAAATAAAAATGACATCGATCAATAAATGCGTGAAGAGAAAAAGAGAATATAAGTGACTCGAAGGTAGGAATTTATAATTTTTTTTAGTTTTTGATTTTTTTTTTTCTCGAAAAATCATCCGGGTTCTTTGGCTTGAAAATAGGAAAATATGGAAGCATAGAGAAAAAGAAACACGTAGAAGATGGATTGTTGGATTGGCGACAAGATAGGACAGGAAAGGAATGCGAGGAGAAGTGGTCACTTGAGGGGCTTGAGAGAGTTAGTAGTCACTTTAGGGAAAATATTGAAACTTTTCTCATTTTCTAGAGCTTCGAGAAGGTTTTCTGTCCGATTTTTTTAAGATCCCTGGAGTTTGTGGCTTGGCTAAGTGGTTACTTCAGGGAAAAATGTCTAGAAAAATTTTTTTGAATTTTTCCGATTTTGAGAAATATTCTTTAAGATTGGGAATAAAATTCTAAATGTCTTACAAGTCTAAAAAGAAGTTTCTGAGCGTCAGCTTTTGAAAAAAATCCGCTTAAAAAGTTGCTAAAGAGATAAAAATAACTACAACATTTCCAACTTGATAAAAAAACCACATTTTAATGTTTCACAAAAATAGATATATAAAAATTGAATTTCTATCGGAACTCTGGAGTTTTTTTACGAGAGATGAAAGTAGCCGTTATTTTTCAAAAATAAAAATCAATAATTGGAAAAAAAGGTCTTCTTTTTTTCATGATTAGGCTTCAATTTTTTTTAAAAAATCATCAAATTTGAAGCTTCAAAACTTGGAAAATAACGTTTAACTTAATAAAAAAATCCCCTCAAGTGACGTCATATGAAATTGAATGGTTCACGATTCACTCGCTGCAGGACGGCGAGCTCAGGTCGGGAGTCTCGAGTCGGGGCGAGAAGTCGGCGAAGACCGGCCCAGAAGACGGGCCGCCGTGCGACGTCGACGGCGCTCCGGAAATCATGGACGGTCCCGGCATCCCGTACGACAGGTCCGTCAGGTCCGTCAAGTCCGTCAGCTCAGGGTAGGCCTGGAAAATAACATTATCATTATTACCAACCAAAATAACTGGCCCATTCCAGGCGATATCGCCTAAAATTTTTTCTACGATCTCGCCAAGTTCTGGCTGTCATGTCGCTCTCTCTCATAAATAAAGATTAAAAACACATTTTTTTTTGTTTTATTTTTGACGTTTATGATGGAACGAATTTTTTTAAAAAAATTTCTCAGAAAGCGATATAGCGCGAGACGTTTGCGAAGTGGCACCAAAAAGACGAGCGATATCGCCCGCGGCATAGCAGGAAAAAAAAATAGGCTGGGATAGATCAGAAACTGAAGCGTCTTCAGAAATAATTTTCCCAAACGTTAGAACTTTTTTTTTAATAAAATGGAAATTTTGAGTTGGGTAGGCTCAAAAAGTTCAAAAGGACCTTGGGAGATTTCCAAATACTGATGTCTTCTTTTTTTCTTTTGAAATAAAGATCAAGAAGCCAGGGAAAAGAGTTCAGACATTTTCGCTTCGTCAAACTTTTTTTTTATTCGAAAATGCTCCCTCTTGCTTAGTATATTCATCGAAACTTGGAAGAAGAACTCTAACACCTTAACTTATACGCTATTGACGTTGGGGATTACACTAACTATGCGATTTAGATGACGTCATTCAGTAAGGTAGCATTAGTCTCGAGTGGGTGTCGGCAGACAATTGCGCTAACAAAAGTTGCCCCCTCTTCGCCGTGTTTGAGCGATTAATGACGTCATTTTATGGAAAGTTTTTAGCAAATCAGTTGGTTTTAGTGAAGATTTATTAAGGAGTTCTCGAAATACTCAAATTAAAAGGCTAAATTTGACAAGTAGAAATTGACTTTTTGATATAAAGATTTTTTAGGAAGTGCTAGGACATACATTAGCACAAAAAGTCGGAGAAATGCGAATTTTTTTAGGGTTTTTTTAAAATGAATTTCTTAAGGGGTTCTTAAGGCCTCATGGCTGGTTTTTGGATGATTTTTGAAGTTAACAATTGGAATAATTTTTCAAAGTCAAAAAAATGCTCTGGAAATCTGAAAAAACCTAAAAATCCATAAAACAATGAAAATAATTCGACACCGGTACACTAAGTTTTCTGTGTCATTTTTTTAGAACTCAACTTTTTTTCAAATTTGAAAATATATATTTTATTAGTTCTTGAGTATGAAAATGTAATTGCCGGCGCTCTAAACTTGGTTCCAAAAATTATTTTTCGAAAATTTCCCGCAAAATTAGAGAAAAGAAGCTTTTCAACTTTTTAACGATTTTGAGATCATTACAGAGATTTTCCAAAGTATTTAAAACTCGGAAAAAAGGTTTTTAGATTTCAATCGATTCCAATAGCTTCAAAATCCCCAAATCCACTTCTTCACTAAGAGCCAGACAGGTGAGACACCTGTACCTGTACCCAATTGACCTGATTTTCGCGCGGCTAGCCCCAAAAAGCCTCCAAGGTGAGGTCTCGGTTTCACAGAGACTCTCTACCATTATTTATGCAGCTGCTTCCTTTTCCTGGCACAAAAAAAAAGAAGAGGAAGAAAACAACACTTTCGCCCCGTTGAGAAATAAGATTTTAGTGGCTGGGTTACGGTAATTGGAGGCTTTTCGCTACCCAACGAGATTTTATGTTCGGGGCACGGGGAAAAAAGATTTGGTTAGTGGTTTCTCCTTTTTTATGGAGTCGTTCGAGTTGGGTTGAGGTTTTGGAGCGAATTTGGAAGCTTGAGGTTCTGTGTAAGGAAAGGGAATTGATTTTTGGCAAGAAGCTTAGAATCACTGATAACTGTCGGAAAAATGAGCTTGAACTTTCTAGAAGACTATCAAGAAGCCTTGGAAATATAGAAGCTTAATCTTGAGCTCCTAATGATCAGCTTAAAGGAACAGAAGGCTGGACAGGACTAAAAAAAAAAGAGAGAGCTCGAACTTTTGTAACAATTGTCAGAAAAAGGGTAATAGCAGATTGAGCTCCTCAGTTCCTGCTTTTACCTCAAAAAGTCGGTTAGTCTGAGAAATTGAACGAGAATAGAAGCTCTAAACAAAAAGCTCAAAACTTTCCGAAAAGCGAGACAAGGATGGTCATTGAAATGTTTGAGCTCGAACAAGGAGTCTCTGAAGGTTCAGATGAAGATACCTTATAAGGATCACCTGTTCCAACTTTAAATTTGGAGATACAAAGTTAAAGATCGCCTTAGACACAGAATCAGGGCCAACCCGATAGTTCGCAACTTTCAAAAATATTATTTCTCAAATTAAGATCTTGTGATAGTAACTAGGTATCTTCATCCAGAACTTCGGAGAGTTTTCGAGCGAATTTTCAGAATATTCCAAGCTTCCCACTTGGATGAACACTCTTATAAGTAAGGTAGAAAGAATGGATGGGACTGTGATCTGTAAAAAAGGAGCTCGAGCTCTTTGAGACAATAATCAAGAACTTTGGCTTGACACTGAGCTTCTACTTCTTTTTAAGACTGGTAGTTCTCATAAACAAGTACTGGAAGGACTGACCAAAAGAGGAGGTGGTCCACCGCCAAATCCAGGACCTTCGTGAGTCGGCTGAGGCCATTGAGGGTAGTGGGCGATCTCGATGGGTCCGGAATGGTTCATCGTGTCGACGTGCGTCGTCGGCGCCGCAGCGATCAGAGGACCGATCCCGTTCATTCGAACGCCATTCAGAGCTCGTTCCTGAAATTGGGATCGTTTGAAAGTTGGTGGTCATTGAGAAAAATTGAAAGGGAAGGAGCATGCGTTGTTCGGAGGAAAAGTAAGCATTCTTGAAAGATTCTAGCCTGTCTGCGCTCTCTTTTCCCTCATTTTAGAGAAAAATAGCATCTCAACACGATAGAGCAGAGAAGCCAGAATGTTTTGAGTTAAGGCGAATGGAGTTCCGGAAGAAAAATTGGAAACCAAGCAAACACAACTTTTTGGTTTTTTGTGGCCGCGCCTGGAATGACTCGAAGCGTCGCGGTCGCGAGGCGGTTTTAGCAAAACGACTCACTCAAAAGCATTCTGATTGCACTGCGCAAGAACTGTTTTGAGTCAAAAACACCTTTACAGCTTCCGCTACCCATCAAGCCATTCCAAATGCGACCATGAACAACCGCGGTTCAGACTTCTATGGTCGCACGTAGGATGGCTCGAAGCGTCGCGGTTTTGGCACAACGGAATGCTCGACATGATTCCAATTCCGCTGCGCGCAAGTCGTTTTGAGTCGGGAGCAGTTATACAGTTGACCATGCGCTTTTAAGCCAAACAGTTTGAGTTGAACACTTATATGTTTCAAGTCTGAACGATTATCTCACATAATTAATCAATCGAACCAATAAAACCCCCAAAAAGTCTCCCTAGGATCCAAATAATTAGGGAAAGATCCGCGAACGGAAAAGAAGCGACCGCCATTCATTGAATTTTGCGCGCCACCGCACACCGACTATCTACCGTATCCGATGGCCAGGGCAGACGGCTGCAAGTGTCCGTGTGTGTATACACGGCGGCGAATTACCTCATTACAACCAATTATGGGCATCCGAGCGTGTTTCGCCGCCCCGACGTTGTTTTGTCGGCCTTTTCCCGCAAAGAGAGGCCAAAAAATAAAGGAAAGGTGGACATTAGGTGTTGCGTAATTTGACCCTGGTCGAGTTCATAAGGCTGTTATTTGAGGATAGGTCGAGAAATTGGAGAACGGATCAGGGAATTCGGAGGATTTTAGCATTGGAGCGCATTAGGCTGATGAAAATAGCCTTTTCCGGAGTTTTTAACCTCCAAGGATATTCGGGTCAAAAAAGGGGAAAAACTCAGACAGGCTCAAGTGATCATGAAAATTGCCATCTTTGAAGGGTTTTGTCATTGGAGCGCAAATGATTTTCAAAAATCGCCTATAGTTCTCTTTAAAATTTTATAAGGTATCTAGATCCTCATTTAAGGGGTAAGTAGGGCAAAAAATAGGAAGAAGGCTTGATTAAACAGAAAAATAGACATTTTAAGAAGATTTTGTCGATGGGGCGCCATTGGTTCTTAAAAATGGCCTAGCATTCGGAGGAAAGTACAAAGAGTTTTTTTTTTGAACAGATTGTCTTTCAAAAGGTTCCTTGTGTATCCTAGACGGTTAAGTAGGCGGAAAGATAGAAGAAAGTGTCAAAAAATCAGAATGTTTGGATTTTTGAAGTCATTATCATTGGAGCGCCTTTGGACGGAAAAAAACGGCTCTGATAGATTTACGATGAATATTTGGCTTTTGGCTTTTTTCCTGTACTATCATTGAGAAGAAGTTGACAGTAAAGGCAAACTTTTTTGTAGTTTTGGGATAATTTTGATGAAAGTCGCTATCATTTGAAAGAGGGTTTCGATTTTTTAAAACCCCTCGGAATTGGAAAAAAAAAGTCGCGACGTGTGCATCAAAGAAGAAATTCGGAAGTCAATAATAAGTGTTGGCCGGGTGGGCGACGGGCCGTGTTTGGGCAACGGTAATTCAGTCGACTCATAACCAACACAAACATAGCTCTTAGAAACTTTTGTGGGGGCCACGTATAACACACATAGACACCGACAAATTGAGCAAATCAAGTGGTTGACTTCTTTTGAAGCGAGGAAACTACGTTTTGACGGGAAGTTTTGGGGTCAGAAGAGGCGAATTCGAGCTTGGAACAGGGTACTTTGAGACCCAGTTTTTGTTCATTCGCCACGACTTGAAAAATTTAAAAATGGTAATGTGCGAAAGTCGTTTTTGGTCGGGTGCGCTTGCCGCAACGTTTTGAACTGTTTCCATGCGATCAGCATATTTGAAGTCAGGATCATTTGGGGTAAGATAGAGAAACACAAAATTTAATTTGAAAAAAAAACTCTTTTTATACTTTCAAAGAAACAGTAAACTAATTTTTCGACTGATGATTTTTTTGGTCCCTGCTGCAATTTTCAACACTATCAACTAACCTGTTGACTTTCCAACCCTTAGATCAATTCCTGACCCCTTGACCGACTGGCTAAACACTTTGATAGCCACCCGCTGGGTCCCTGGTTCGATCCTCATCCAGCTGCAAACATCATGCATGTCACATTGCACAACTAATTACTGTAAGTCGCCGGATTACGGTAGGATAGGTAGTATCTTCGGGATCAGGTTTCTAATACGGTGGGGTCAGCTCTTCTTTAGGGATATTTGAGAGGAAGAGCCTTTTTTTCCGAAATTCTTCATTTCACGAATTTTGATTAGTTTCTTTTCGAACTTCAGAGTTCAGAGAACTCAGAAGAAAAAAAATTAGGCAAGGAAAAAATTGAACTTGAGACCTTTGTATTCTGACTTGCATTTTGTCAATTAAACTTTTCTTCAAAATAGATCAAGTTTTTTCGATTTAATACAAAAGCACCAAAAACAGCTTCCAAAACCGGCGCGAGACTAAAGCGATATCGCTGGTGGTACATTAGCGATATCGCCAATAAATCGCTTTGTCGCCGCGCTGGACTTTCTTTAGCTTTCCTCGCACTGACAAGAAATTTGGAAATCGCAGAAATGCGATGTCGTTGATATATTGTCAGCGACATCGCTTTAATACTTTCTTTTCAAAATGTATTCTAAGAACGGATGCAATAATAACAGAAAATTCTTCAAAGTCAATTTCACGTTTTCCCTGAAACAGAAATGTCAGTTATGAACTCAAACTCAAAGCGCAGCCAGAAGAGTTTTTTTTACCATTATAGTTACTTTGAAACAGAAAAATGTTTTTGTAGAAATCGAACGAAATCGATCCAGTGACCCTTCAAACCTCCGTCAAGCTTTTCCTCCACAACACTAACTTTTTTTGTTGGAAAATTCTCAAAATCCCCCGGAAATCCTATATGGCGATGGGTAAACACTGGCGCCGGCTTCAAAACACTACAGTTTTGGGTTTTGAGGATGAGCCCGAAGAATGGCGAGGAGCCCACTTGAGCCACCCGGCTGCCATATGCTCCCGGAAGATTTCGGGTTTTCCCGTTTCAAAAGAAATTTATTGGCGGCTTCAAGAACTTTTTTTCGATTTTTTTCTGGGTTTAGGACTTGTTGTTGTTGATTTCGAGTGATCGCTTAAGGAGAGATGAATTTCAGTATTCCTGTTTCAAAAGAAATGTAAAAGTGGTTTTGAAAAGGCCTTTTAATGTTTAGTTCAATAAAGTCTCGAGTGGTCACTTTAGTCATTCCGTCCGAGAATCCGGCGATTACTGTTTCAGAGGAAGTACAAGACCGACTTCAAAAAAATTTTAATCAATTTTTTTAGGGGAGTAGAAGTATACTATTTAAAAAAGATGCCCTTAAAATTTTGAATCTAGTACAGTGGACAAAAAAAATTGATAACGATAAAGTGGTCGCAGGTTCATTCCTTTCTCAACATTTTTCGCTGAAAATGTCAAAAATAGAGAATTCTTCGATTAATCTTTTAAGGTTTCAATATTTCTTCACTTAAAAATTGTGTCATAGCTGTTTAGTGAACACTTTAGGGATTTTTTTAAATTCAAGAACGTTCTATGAGATATTAGGCAAACTTTTTGTGTGGCTAGTGGAAAAAAATATTAAAAAAATCAATACTTTAACGTTTCACCAATTTTATAATAGATGGTTTTCACGGAAACTCACAATTTTTCGATCGATTTTTTTTATAAAAAAAAGTTTATTCCAAGGTTTTTCTTGAATTTTTCATAAAGAATGGTTAAAATTTTTGGTTACTCGGAAGATTTTCAAGAGAAGGTCCCCAAAATCAGAAAGCTTTCAACAACCTAATTCGGTGAACCCACACACATCAAAAAACCCTTAAAAAGACCTCATTTTTGGCTTTTCGGCGACGGCGGCAAATTAGCTTTTCGGCGGCTCTTCTCGTTAGAAAAAAGAAGTAGTGAAAACGCGCTCCATTGAGATTTCGGTGCTCGGGGCAGATGACATGCCGAAATTGGGGTCATTTTCCGTGTTGTGAAATGAAATGAAATGACTCAAGAACATTGGCGACCGCTGCAACCTAGTTCCCGAGAGCAGCTGTTGGGCGAGGGAAATTGGCAAAAATTACCGGCGCGCGGAGGGATTGAACCAGCGAGTCGTTTGGTCATCTTTTTCGGGGAATTTATAACTTCTGCTGGCTGTTTTTGTATCAAAAACGTAGCGAAAAATCTTTAAAGTCTTGGATATCACTCAAAATGAAAAAATGTCAGATAGTTAAGTGGCTAAGGCTTTTGAATGGGAACAGAAGCTTGAAAGTTCGATCCCATCCAAGGTTTCTTTTTTTGCCAGAGGTTAAAAAAAAGTTATCATCTAAATTAAAAATTTTACAAGGGTCACAGGTTCGACTCCTCTCCATGGCGAGACGCTTTTTGCCGTTTTTTTTCTACGAAGGCTGCCTCATCTTTAGTTTTTCTATCATAGAAAAAGCCCTTGGAGGCGAAAATCCATGCCAAAACTGCGGCATTTCTGTTTCGGAGACAAATTAACAGTGATGGATTGGGTCGCCTCCCTCAAGGCGGGTGATCGAATTAGTGGACCTACGCAACCTCATTAGGGTTACGGTAACCGAAAGAAGGAAAAACAAAGCATTTTCAAGTCGGACTGTAGTTTTTCTACTAGCTTGCAGCTTTCTCAGCTCGAAATTGAGTTTACTATCCGGAAAAAAACATTTTCGCATTGAGACCTGTTTTGAGCTCTAACCGTGCGCCTTTAAATATTGGAAAAGTTTTGATGAATGAACTACATTCAAAAGGGTAGATTTTTTCAGCCTTTTGTTGTAGTTTTGATAAAGTATGGCTGAAGAGTACTTCAGGAATCCCTACAGTACATTAATGATCACTTAAGGGACCACTTGAGCTTTTTTTCAGCGTCAGACCCTAAATTCCTATAGGGACTACCTAAATTTTAGCCCTCCAGGGAGCACTATTTTGTTCTCAATAGGGCTGTTTTTTCTAACCCCTCTAGGGACCCCTCTGGCATCCCTAGCTAAAGCAAAATTTTATAAAAATATGAAAAAAGTCCCTCAAACCTTCAGAAAAAGAAATCCCCAAAATCCATGCTTGGAAGCAAGAAGGCAGGATTACCTGCACATCTAAGTAAATGCCCCCCACTAATCCGCCAGTCAACAAACACCGAGTAGCCAAGGCCTCACTACTGTGCAGGTGGGCGCTCTTTGTCGGCTTGCCCTCTTTTGTCCCGGGGTACAACCAAACTTGCAGCTGGTCGTCGCTTGGTTCGAACTTGGGCAAATATAAATATACCATATGGTTGGGGTTACTGTAGATAGGTCAGCTAGTCGGATCGTTTTAAAAAGCTTTAATATGAAGATTACAGTAACTTAAGGGTCTTTCAATTCAAAAAAAAACCGTGGCCGCATTTGGAATGGCTCAGATTCTTGCCTTTGATATTGCAAAAATTCCGTTTCCAGGTGTCACCAGGAGGCTCAACTATTAGTTCCCCAATCTAATCGATTCAAAAAAAAAATCCAAATTTGACAATCAAAAATATTCTGAGGTTCTAGACCACCTTCTCGCTCGAAACCTTGTAGAAATATGAGTTTATCGGTTGGAAACGTGAGAAGTGCAATAAAATATATAGTACCAGTAGGAGAAGCGATGCAAGGAAATATGAAAAACACGATTCACAACACATATTACGTCACGATATTCATTTCAATCAATATTCAAGGCCGAGAAGATAGAAATTCACTGCTGGCTTGATTTTTCCACGGGGAATGGTCCGGGCACTGCGAAAAATGACTCGAAGCGATGCAACCGACCAAAAACTGCTTACGCGCGGAGGTATCTTTTAACTAATGGTAATAACGGGTTTCTGAATGAACCTAGGCTCTCCAGATGCCTATTTTTTTTTTTTTTGATTTCGAGGGTCTGATCCAAAAAATGCTTATAAAGCTGGGGAGAATGTTAAAATAGTCTGGTTTACGAAATTTTTAAACGCATATTTGGAATAAGTGAGAAAAACTGCATATGTTGAACTCAGTTTTTCATAAGACTCTGCTGAGAGATACCGCAGGGCGCAAACCGTTTTCAGTCGGGTGCAGTGAAAAATTTCGCTGTATTTCATATACAATTTACTCAATATTTTATTTTTTGTACCTAGTAAACTTTTCTTTGAGTAAAATGAATCAGGAAAACCGAGAACCGCAACGCGATCGCGTCGTACCAAAATTGAGAAATGATTCTCATGGGGTTAAAAGAAGCGTAAATTCGAGGCATTTTTTCAGTACCAAGTCGTGAAAAATCAAGCTGACGGTGGATGAAGTATAGCGGAAAGTGGAAGAAAAACAAAAAGACAGGAGAAAAAGTTAGAAGTCAGTCAGAAGAAGCGTAGGAATGGGGCATCCAGCCAATGAGACAGACCTTCTCGGCGTTGAGTCGGCTCTCGTGGATCTGGATCTGCCGTTTCTTGTCCTTGCATCGCTTGTTCTGGAACCACACGCGGATCACCCGAGCGTTGAGGCCTGTAAAGTGCGGATACTTTGAATCATTGAAAAGATATGAAAGAAAAAATGAAGGAAATTCATTAAGAATCTTTAAATACAACAGGGAAACAGTAAATTGTTCTAAATCTCAACTGTCCTTCAAAAACAAAGTTTATTCACTGAAGTTTAACGCGAAACTGTAGAGAAAAGAAAAAGACAACTAAATTTTGGAGGGTCAGAGAGAATTTAGAACTTACAAAATAAAAATAAAAGAAACTGACCAGTCATTTCGACGAGTTGCTCCTTGAGAAGAGCGTCAGGTCGGGAGTTCATCGAATAGCATTGTTTGAGGATTTTCAGCTGGGTTTCGTTCAGAACCGTCCGAACTCGTGTCGTCTGGAAAATGTATCATTTTTTATCGATTTTTCCGTTTTTTTTTTTGGTGAAAAATGAGTTATTTCCTTATTCTTAGAGAAGGAAACTAGAAAAAATTGCAAATCGTGCGAAATTTCGAGTCATCTCAACTGTCTGACCTGTCTTCGCCCTCTTTTTCCTCACCTAGGAAAATGGAAATAGCGCTTAAAAACGAGAGAGTGCAGAGAAACCAATCTTGGAAGCGTTATTTAACTTTTCGTTACTCTGAATTTTTATAATAGCCTTTAAATTTAACAATTCTCAAAGGCCGAATTTATCTCTGAACGAAAAAAATTTTTTTTAATCCAGATAACTTCATAAAAATCATCATATTTCTTAATGAAAAACCTGCTTATCCTTCTTTTTCTTGCTCGAACCGCCGGAAGAGCTTCCCGAGCTGTTCTGGTACCCATTTTGAGGCGTCGTCATGTCTTCCGACTTTGGAGACCTGAAAATTAGAATATTTTTTATATTTCACTCTAAATTCCAACAAAAATAGAATCATTCGAACTTGAAGAGCCGAAGAAATTATTTTATGAAACTAAGTCGAACTTGAGAAATTCAAAAAGGCCTTGAAAAAATAGCCGTTAAGTTATTTGAACATGCGCTCTACTGATAATCAGAACTCCTTTCCCCGAATGTTGATTTTTTGAAAGAAAATTGTAAATTTCCACTTTTTTTTAAAATACGACATTTAGAATTCAAGTTTTTTTGAGAAAAAAAAATAATATTCATTGAAATAGTCTTAAAATCAGATAAAAGTGTCCGCAATTCAACTTTTACGAACTTTATCGATAGAGCGAAAAAACCTATGTTTTTCTAGCCCCTTTTCTACCAGGTCGGTCCTTAATTTTAGAACTTTTTCTACACTTCTTCCCAAGCTTTTTCTTTACCTCTTACTAAAAAATGCAAGCTTTTTTTCATTTTTCAACTTTTTTCACTCAAAAAATTAAATGGAGGCCCATTTTTTATCGTTTCTAGACGCAACTTCAGACCTTCTTTCATTTTCCTTTTCAACCCCTTTGCACTATTTCAAGCTTTTTTCTCTGATTTTTCTAGAAACTTCATTTTTTCCTACCAGAAAAAACTCAACAGACGTTGCTACATTTAACACTAGTTCTGCTGCGAACAGCCGTCGGGAAATCTGTCAGTTTCCCGGAGGAAAAATGTGAGGACAGGGGGGATTAATTACCTGACGGAGAGCGGGGGACTCGTGTGGTCCAGGGAGGTCAGCGTCGAGGTTTCCCAGGAGTCTTCGTCGTAGAGCTGCGAATTGCTCGGCAGGTTCGAGGACTGCAATAAAAAATGGATTTATTCATTTTTTCCTTTCAATATGTGAAGTCAAAACAAAACAAATCATTAAGAACTTTTTCTATTCAAAAAAAATTTTCTATAAAAAAGTGGTCTTTCCCAAAAACAAAAAACTCAAACCTCAGGAATATTGCCAGTCTCGCAGTCGTTCCGGCAGTAGACTCGGTTGTTTTTTTGAACTGAAAAATAAATAATTTTTTTGATAAATATCGACTTTTTTTGAGTATGTAATATTGATTATCTTCAAGTAAAAAAAGTTTTTTTAATTAAAAAAATTTTTTTTTCTGTAAATCGATTTTTTTCCGAATAAGTGTGATCTTTTTGAATTATTATTTAATGTACCTTTACAAGACAGGTAATTATAATTTGCGGTTGAGAAACTTGAAAAATCGCCAGAACACTCTTTGGTGTACCAGAAAACTATTCTGAAATCCTCACTTTCTGAAAATTTCTAATTTTTGAAAAATGACACCTCAAAATCCTTCGAAATAGGCCATTATCAGCCATTATTTCTCGAGAACTAGCAAGTTGTACAAGTTGAGACTTTCAGAATCTTCTTCTGGTACAGCAAGGAGTGTCCTGGCCAAATTTCAGGAAATTCCCAACCTCAAAATGAAACGACCTTTCTTGTCAGGAGCTTTGCCGAATCAAAGTGACTACCTGAAACTCGTCGCCGGTCCTCATTCGCCTGTCGCAACCCGTGCAACAGAAACACTCGACGTGGTAGATGAACCTTCCGGCTCTCATGACCATTTCGGCCTTGGTGAACTCTCGCGAGCAGCCTTGGCATTTCGTCCCGAACAACCTGAAAAGTCTACAGTTCCAAAGTTTGAAAATCAAGCTTCTTTCTGAATCTCAATACACGTTGTTCTTGAAGTCACCCCTAAAAAAAGGTCCCAAACAAACCCTTTTGTTTGTATTTAGACTTGCCCCAAACAACGACCCAAACACCCAATTAAGGAGTCAACGAGGTCCAAAACTCTGCCTGGCACCTTGTTGTCGCCAAAAAACGAGGTGTTTGGGCCACTTGGGCCATCTGGCCGACTTTTGGCGGCACGTGTCCGGAGGAAGTCGCGCCTTCCTTACAAGGTTAATTGGAGGCGAAAAAGGTGTGAAGGAACGTGTCAGAATAATAGGTACCGGAAGAAGGACAGCAAGTTCTTTTTTATTCCGAAACGATTTGCAAAATTCGGAGAAAATAGAACGAATTTTCAAAGGTATAGAAAATTTGCTGAGGTGTTTGAAGGAGCATATCGGGATTTAAAAAGAAAATCTTGGCAAAAATCGTTTTTCTGAGTCCTTAGAGACCTCTGTGATGTTTGAAAAAATTGAAAAAGCTCAAAAACATCGAAAAGTAAAAAATCCCTTCCTTAAGTCTATACATTTACGGAATAAATCGTGGGGATTTAAAAAAAAAATTTTACTCCCATTTTGTTCGAAAAGAACCTCATCCTCCACTTCCACGCCCACCAAAAGCACCGCCATGTTCAGGAAATTACGCGAAACGGGGAAAAATGGTAGGTTGCGAGGAAAGGTTGCGCAAGCGCTAAAAACAGCCGCCTTTGGGTGCAGCGCGGCGGAAACGCCACCCTTTTTCCGTGCGCCCGACCGTTTCCTGGAGCGGAAGCGTCGCTCGCGCAATCCTCCAACGCGTCGCCGAAACATGGCGACAGACGTTCCGTGATAATTACAAGTTTCGAGGCGCCGAAGATAATGCAATTTGCGCTCCAACGAACGCTTTTTGGGTCAGATGGGGTTACGGTATAGGAAAAGCTTTTAACGTATTTTATCATGAAACGTTCATTTTTTTATCCCTGTGAGTTTAGGGAAGAGATTATTTTTCGAATGAGTTTAATTTTTTGAAAAGAAGAGATGAAACTTATCTTCAAAAAGAAAGTTTTTTTTGAAAAACTAGTAAAAGTTGCCTTCAAAAATGAAAGTTAGGCTTCTACTCAATGGAAAAATTTTTAGCAGCTATTGATTCTTATACTTAAAGGCCGTAGTAAACTTTTTTTAGGCGGAAATTAAAAATTCAAAAAAAGCGATTTGGAAAGTTAGGCCACCGGCCCTTTTTTTCGCTTTTTTTCCGTTTTTTTAAAAATTTGATGTAGTAACTTTTTTTGAAAAATCGACTACATCTCTTTGAAAAAAATAAAAAGCTCATCTTTTTAATTTTTTTATTTTATCGATTTGTAAACGTGAAAAACTTTTTTTGGCGGGAAATGAGAATTCAAAAAAATAAGCGGGATTTCGAAAAATTAGGCCACCTTATATTTTTTTACGGGAATTATGTAATATTTCAAAAAAATAGATTACTCTTCTTATAAAAAAAGGTTAAAACTTTGAATTTCTTCTTCTTGTAAAGTGGTTCCAAATATTTCGAAAATGAAGCAGTTTCCGTCGTTTTTGATGGAATTTTTTTCTGAAGATTTTCAAAAAGTTTCGAAAAAAAGCTTCTTGATGTAACTATAAAACTTCTATTTTTTTCATCATTTAAATCAAAAACTACCTTCAAAACTAACGAATTCCTTCGATTTTCCACCCGAAATTCCAAAAATGTTCCTCTTCCAGAGTCAGAAAAGCTCAAAGAGCTCAGTCTCCGGCACATTCGAAGGGATCATCTCCGCGATTCTGCTTATTATCACTGAGATGATATTGATAAGGGGGTGATAATCCAGACTGGGATTAGAGGGACGTCCTTTCGAATGAATATGGTCGGGTTGCGAGGAAATCGGTCTTTCAATGGGGAAAAATTTCATTTTCTGGGAAGGACGTTTTGTTGAAAATTTTCAGATTTTAAGCTTAAAAAAAATGAAAATTTCTTGATTTTCTATTTCAAAATCGATACTTTCCGAAGTATTACCCATACAATGCTTGAAAAAATTAACAAAGTGGGTTCAAAAATTCGTAAAAAGTTCATTTTCCTGTATTTATCCAGTAGAACCTTTTTTCAAACATTATGATTGAAGAAAGTCTTTTTTTTTGATGATAACGAAGAATTTCCGAGTTTTTTTGAGCCAGAAAATATATAATTCTAAGAGACTTTGGACTTGAAAAACTTTTTACTAGAATCCCCCTTTCCAGACTTTTCTCCCCAAAGTCCCAAGTGAACCCTTTTGTTTGTATTTAGACTTGCCCCAAACAACGGCCCAAACACCCAATTAAGGAGTCAACGAGGTCCCAAACTCCGCTCGGCACCTTATTGTCGCCAAAAACGAGGTGTTTGGGCCACTTGGGCCATCTGGCCGACTTTTGGCGGCACGTGTCCGGAGGAAGTCGCGCCTTCCTTACAAGGTTAATTGGAGGCGAAAAAGGTGTGAAGGAACGTGTCAGAATAATAGGTACCGGAAGAATGGAAAACATATTCTTTATTCCTCCGAATCGATTTGCAAAATTGGAAAAAAAAAGAATTCTTCCTGTGGTGATGAAAGAACCAGGGAATGATTTTTAAGAAAATTTTTTTCTGCAAAAATCGCTTTTCCAAGTTATTAGAGGCTTCTACGGAGTTCAAAAACACTTGAAAGAGCTCAAATTTACTTCTTTCGAGCTCCTTTTTTCGTCTAACATGTAAAAACCTCGGAAAGTGTTATTTTCTGTTATAAACTTCATAGATTTAAGGGATATACTGTGTAAATTTGTGTGAAAAGCATCCATTGAATAAATTAGATACTTTTAAAAGTTAATTGACTCATTTTTGAACAAATTATCAAAGACCTCTTCAACGGTCATTTTCTTGAAAATTCATCTACTGAAAATGGGAAAAAAGATCCGAAAGCTTCTTAGAAAAAAAAAGCCATGAAAACGTGACTTTTTCCGATCCCCAGTCACTCCTATGATTCTACCAAAAATCCCGAAAATCCCGAAAATTCTCCTCAGCAAAAAAATTCATTGAAAAGCTCAACTCTAATGATTTTAATTCCACCAAAAATCCCGCGAATCCCAGAAATTGCCCAGCTCCCAATGACGGAAGTGATTTGTCCCGTTTCCCGAACCGACCATTGTAACTCGTTGTCCTTCTTTTCTCGGCTCAATGAATGGAAGGAAGGTAACGTGAGAAGTTTCCGTTTTGTGTGAGCCAGACTGTTTGGCTTGCGATCTTTCTCACTTTTGACCACAGGCTATGTCTTTTCTTCGTCTTTTTTTTCGATTAGAATTCGGAAAAAAAAATCAAGTAAATCTAAAAAAAACGCCAAGAGCGTTTCCCAGTTTCTCGTTTGTTCAATAGAAAAAAAAACAAACTATACTGTTTTGTTTGCAAACCGCAACTTTAGGCCTATCTTTTTCGATTTCCAAAACTCTTGAAGCCACAAAAAAGTTGGGATTTTGATTTTTTGAATTTTTCTTACTTCTTCCAGTAAATCCCGGGGTTTTAAAATCACGAGAAAATCGAAAAAAGTTAAAAAAAATTAATTATTGAAACGTTCTACTATCTTATTGTGATCACGGTCCAACTTTGCTTGATTTCTTATCCAATAAATCCCAAGTTTCCAACTTCAAGTCTTCTCGGGCCAAGAAAAAACCCAAAAAATCTTCGACAGATATTTAATCAAATATTACACTAATTTTTTGCAATAACTCTTGAATTTTCAATTTTCTTCGTTTCTAATAAATCCCGAGCTTCGAACCTCAAGCCTCTCAGTTCCGAGAAAAAACCCGGAAAAAGGCCAACTACTTACTCAACGACGTTCAATTGAGCAGCCAACCACTTGACCACACCTGGCAATTGCATAATGCAGGAGAGGAGTCAATTGAGGGGCTCTCTTCCACTTTTTACTTTAGCCACTTCACACAAAACACTCTTTTTCCCTTGTTTGGTTAGCCAGAAGTCGCTCACCGGAAATGGTCGTCCTTGCAGTAGGTCCTGCCGTCGCGGACGAACGCCGTGCAGTGTTCGTCGAGCGTTCGGGCGCACTCGAAGCACTGTAAGAGAAGAAGCTTAGCTCAGTCGGTGAGAATGATTTTGAGGTTCAAACAGTCTCTGGTTCGGCTCCTCTGGAGGGGAAAATGAAAAAAAAGACTAGTTTATCTTTTGAAATTTTCCAAAAAAGACAATTTTATTTAATGATCTGCTTTTTCGCGTTCGAGAGTACTAGAAGCACTGCAAATGGAGAAGCTTAGCTCAGTCGGTGAGAATAAATTTGAGGTACAGACAGTCTCTGGTTCGACTCCTCTGGAGGGGAATAGAGAAAAGGACTCAGTTTTCCGTTGAAATTCTAGAAAAAGGACAATTTTATTTTATGATAAATGTTTTCGCGTTTGGATGCACTAGAACCCCTAAGAAAAAAGAAGCTTAGCTCAGTCGGTAAGGATAATTTTGAGGTACAGACAGTCTCTGGTTCGAGTCCTCTAGGCGTATTCTGATCAAAAAACAAAAAAAGCTCGATTTTCCTCTTCCGCTCTGTTATAGTTCAGTTGAATTGAAAACAAAAACCCTGGCTCAGTGGCTAACACTCTAATCCAAGGTTCGAAAGGTCCCAGGTCCAAATCCGATCGCCGTCTCCATCGCGAAAAAAAAATCCAAAGCAAAAACGTAATTATTCAATTTCCAAGAGGTCAATCAAACAGGTGGCAAAACGCAACATTTCTCATTTCTTTCCTATTTCTCGAAAAATCGGCGACACACGCGAGGCTTAATCGGACACGCGAGAGACTGTTTATGAGTTATGGCGCAAGTCGGGGAGCGTCGGCCGGTCTCAAGCAAGAGGTCTAGGGATCGGTTCCGGAGGCAAATGATGAGAATTTTTCACCTTCTTTTTCAAGCTAATCTTGCAATTCTTCTTTTTTTTTTACCTTTTTATTGTCCTCTCAAAAATCTGAGTGATTCTTTTCCTTATTCGCACAAGCTTAAAAGCCAAAAAATCGAACTAAAACTAGAAGAAATGCTTTTTTTCCAATGAATTTTAAGTTCTACTCAAAATTCTGTCCAGCTATCTTTCTTATCACTATCCTCAATATCTTCAAAAGCCTTCAGAGGCCTCCAAAACCCAAAAAATCGATCTATCACTCTTAAATGCACCTTCAGAAGCTTCCAAGACCTCCAAAAGTGAAAAATTCGACACGACTCTTGAAAAAAAAATCTTTTCTTTTCTATTCCCAGTTCTGACTTGTCATTTCATTTATCACCATTCTCATTACTTCCAAAAGGCTCCGAGACCACCAAAAGCCAAAAAATCCTCGGGAACCAGCGGTCCAGAAGACAGATGGTTGGACACGTGTGTGGTGGTGGGTCTGTGTATGGAAACGCAGGCCCGTGCTTGTTTGTGTTGAGCCTCTCCTTCTCTTCCGAGGAGGCCCCCCTACAGCAACCGCAGTTGCGTGTGCGCGGTAATTCGACCCTTTCCAGGCGTTATTTCGTTCCCTTCCTCGCTTCTCCCCCCCAACTACCATCACCTCTGATCTATAAACAAAAACAAGCTGGACGAGGTCAAGTTGTTTTTTTTTTTGGAGCTACAAGCTGTTAGTTTTCATTTCGAGAGCTCAGACCTCGGTGAGGCAAACCGGACGTCTCGGAGCACATCCAGTGATCACTTAAGAGTGATGACGCTCCTAAATGGATCACTAAAAATGCTCAGAAACTTTCAGAACGCTTCCGTTTTTTCCAAAAAAAAACAGAAGAATCTGCGCTCCAAGGATGAAATTTTGGGATTACCAGTTTTTCTAGAACCTCGGCAAAGCAAACCAAACGCGCCCGGGCGTTTTTAAGCATTCCAAGTGATCACTTCAGGAGTGTCACAACTTTTACGAGATAGTGATCTCTTAAATGACCACTTGAAATGCTCAGAAATATCCGGGGCGCGTCCGGTTTTCGTTACCGAAATCAGAGAAAATATTACGCATTCTAAAAATTTATCCATAGAGCACAGGTTCATCCGTTTGCATTTAATTTTGCGGCTTTTTTGTAACTATTCCCTAAAAATCCCTAAAAAGCTTATTCAACTGAATTTTTCTTCTCAGGATCTACCAAAAACTACTTCACTACAGTCTCAAGTCTCTAACTGGCAAAAAGGTCGCCTTTGAATAATTAGTTCATTTATCCATTCCATACAGTCCCCAACGGCTCCCCCGCCAATAACCCCCCTGTGGACGTGAGTCAGGAAGAAGGGAAAGCGAGTGTGAGATCAGGCGGAAATAAGCGGCCCACAAACAACACAGAAGAGCGCCGAATTCTTTGCCGTTCTTCGGATTCGTCTGGGCAGAAAATTCGGCTGCTACATACATTTGTATTCTACATTCACCTTCCTTCCTTCCTCATATGCCGACCGGTTTTGATTGAGAAGAATGGAAAAGTTATAGTCAATTTGCCACGACTTGAGACTGTCTGACCTGTCTGCGCTCTCTCTTATCTCGCCTATGAGGTAAAAGAAAACATCATTGAATCGTAAGAGAGCGCAGACACAAAAGAAAAAATCATCCTTTTAAAAATGAGTTCTTTTAATATTCGATTTTGCAAGAAACGAAAGTTCTCTCCTCTATCGCCTAGAAGGTCATAGAAAATGAAAATAGCATTCAAAAACGAGAGAGGGTGTAGAAAAATTTATCCTTCTCAATTTTATACGAATTGAAACTGTCTGGCCTGTCTGCGCTCTCTCCTCTCTCGCCCTCGAGACCATACAAACTTGGAAATATCATTTAAACACGAGAGAATACAGAAAAACCAGAAAAAACTTCTCTACCCGATTTTCCCAACCGTCTGATCTTTCTGCACCCTCTTTTCTATCACTTAGGGGGTTATGAAATATGAGAGGAAAGAGGGCGCAGAGAAGTCAGAAACCTTTTCAAAAATGAATGATAAGGAAAAAAAAAACCTTCAAGCAATCGGCATGGAATTGCAAGTCCGGATGCACCTTCATAATAAACCGGTCGTTGATCTCTGAAAAATTATTGATTTTTTTTTTTTTTGGAATTTGAAAAATAGCTTAATTTCTATGGGAAATATAACGAGAAGGTTGATTTTCTTAGGTCAAAAATTATAATTTTCCGGTTTCTAGTCCAAAAAAACTTTTTTTCCTTTAAAATCCAGTTCAAAAATGCATCAATTTTCGACCAAAAATTCACAAAAAAGCATTTCTTTGACCACAATAAATTCATATTTTCCTTCTCGGCCAGGCAAAAAATAAAAATAAACAAAACTGACCAGTATGACAGCCGGAGCATATTGTCATCTGGTGGTGTTCTGCAAAAAAAAACATTAGTCAATTTATTTCGCAAATCTAAACAGGAATGTATTATTTAATAAGCCTGTTTGAGTCAAATTCCCGACGCAATCTTTTTTTTTCGAACTCTGATCATTTAGCTTCCGGATTAACCTTTTGTTCAAGTTTTACTCAATTAGGATAATTTTTAATTAACTCTTTTTCCATCTCCATAGGTAAAGAGATCAACATCTTCATTTTTTTATTTTTCAAAAGTTAAACAAAGATTTTTAGAGCTTCAAACTAGGAAAGATCCGCCAGAAACCGTAAAAAATTTCAAATCGAGCTCTCATCAAAATGTTGTCCGTGGAGCGCGAAAGCATAAGAGGTTTTGAAATGTCCTCCTTATGATAGTAGCGCATTTTAAAAAGCATTTCTGAGTGAAAAAAATCTGAATTATATGCTTTAAATTAAAATTTTGTCCGTGGAGCGCAGTTGCCCCCAGATTATACGCAAAATAAAATTTCTAAGCAAAAAATGAAATTTTGAAGATTTGAAATGTCCTCCTTATGATAGTAGCGCTATTTAGAGGCATTTCTGACTGGAAATTTTGAATTTTTAGCTCTAAATTGAAATTTTGTCCGTGGAGCGCATTTGCACACGGACTCATGCCCAAAGCATTTTCTCTCGATTTTTTTAAATCAATGGCTTTAATTTTAAATTTTTTATGTTTCATGAATATTATTTTGAATATTTTTGCTCAAAAAAAACAATAAAGTCTACATTTTCGATTCCCAACCTTCAAGGTAAGATCATCAAAAGGTCACATATGTCCATGTTGGAAACGCTCGAAAAGTGCGAAAATTTGCGCGAAAATCTGCGATTCTAGGCAGCAGGTCCTGCTCTCCGCCGAGTTCATAAATACTCCAATGAGCCGGAAAAACGGCACACAAGGCAAGGTCATCATTTTCTCGTCTTCCCCCCAAAGGGCTAGCATTATATTGGGTTCAGGTTTTCCGGAGGAAAAGCTTGAAATTGGGAATATTTTGAGAAAATAGCAGATTTTTTCAACGCTAACAACTCTATATAAAGGATTTGGACTTGAAAAAAAAGCTTTTTGAAAAGACCGGAGTCTAGATTAAACTATGAATGAAGCCTTGAAAAGTTTAAATCAGCTGGAAAAATTCATAAAAAAATATCATTCAAAAACTGATTCTCAGAGCCGCATTTGGAATGGCTCAAATATGAAAAATTTAACTTGAACCGCAACGCAACCGCAGAGCGTTAAGCCATTCTGAATGCGACCAGAAGTTTTTTTTTTTTTGAAAATTGTAATTTCACCGAGAATAAAATGAACTCCCAACTTCCGACCCAACAAATGTCGAAAACAACTTTCCCGTTTCATCATTTACTCCAGTCAAAAATGTGCTTCTTCCGTCGGGCAGCTTGCCAATTAACGCCACCAATCTTCCCACAAAAAGGGAGAAAAATGGTGTTTTTGGGGGGCGGCGAAAACGAAAATTACTCACAAAAACCCAATACTTTAACGCTAATTTGCCCAATTTTCGACAGAGAAAAACTCGCAAAATTTTGAAAAATTATTTTTTTTTAAGTTTAAAGAAGGCGTCTAGAAGTCACAGATATGCTTGAAAAAAAAAGTAGAAAAATTCGAAAAAATTTTTTTTAAACAAGATCACCGTTTCAAAGAAATTTCTTATAGTTCTAACTTTCTGAAAAAATTTATTTATTTCATCTCTGCGTCTCTCAAATTAGAACCTTTACTATCTATTTCGAACTTGTTCATTTTTTTTTTCAAATCAAAAAATCCCCCAGTTTACTTTATATTTTTCCGAGCAAAGAGAAAATTCGTGTTTTTTTCTCTGCGTCTCTCAAAATACAACACTCTCTGTCTATTACGCGAAAAATAATTTATTACGCGAAAAAATAGTTTTTTCGGCTTCTAACATCAAAAAGTCACTTTTTTTGCACCTCACGACCTCAAAATTCATAAAACCTCGCCCAAACTTTTCGAAACAAACACGAAAATTCAATATTCTATGCGATTCGTCGGACAAACGACACCAATCCCAAAAACGGGCGAGGCTACCGTAATCCTGCCCCTTTTGGCGCCCCCCTTCTTTTCCACTACCCTTCCATATTTGGCTTTCGACGCCTCTCTCTTAGCGACAACCTATAATTATCTATCAATTTATATCAACGGCCGAAGTCAGATTATTTCCACATTGGATATATCTGAAATTGGAAATGTTCGCATTTTCGAGGGGGCTAGAAAGCATGGAAAATTGAGAGAGTTAGAGAAAAAATTCGGGAATTTTTATTACTATCTTACTTAAGAATTATGCAATATTTTGAACCCGGTCAAAAATGAGAGAGCACGAGAAATTGAGAGATTTAGAGACGCCAAAAATTTCTCTAATTTTGCATTTTCTGAAAAATAGCGTGAAAAATGTAGAGATTATTAGAGATGAAAATTATTGAAACTGTCTGGATGTCTCCAACTTTTCCACACTCTCTAGCTTTCTTCATTTAAAAAAAACCGAAAAAAGTTTTAAAGAAAAGTTCAAATTGATTAAAATAAAAAATACAAATTTTTAAGAACCTATCTTTCTGTAACTACTTAAAAATCACACACTTTCTGCTCATTTTCAATTTTTTTTCACAATTTTTCGTGATTTTCCTCCCAAACTAATCTCATATAGAAAAAAGGTGATAGAAACCCGAGGAGATTTGCTTTGAGATTTGGAGAAGAAATTCATGGAAAAACGTGAGTTAATCCACATCCGGTCAATCCAGAAATGCGGTGTGAAAACACGGGATTTTCAAGGAAAAATAGAGAATCGATTGGAAAAATTATTTTCGTTTCTAGAGGTCATCTAAGGATGAAACTATGAGAAAAATAAATAAATAAGTACAAAAATAATAAAAGCTTTGAAAATGTAGGAAAAATTGGGAGATCGTGGGAAAAATGAGGGGAAAATAAAAAACAAGTTCAAGTTTATAATGAGTCAGATCGGGTTTTTCGGACTCGAAAAAGGTTCAAAATTGAAGAAAATCACAGAAAGTTCATAAAAGAACTATCATTAAGGATTACTTGATTTAATTTGAAAATTTGGTGTTTCTGAAGCTTTTTTTGAACATTTTCATAGTTCTTTGTCTTCAAGAAAAATCCAAACTTCTCTAAAAACTCTCTAGAAGGTAAAAAAAGCGAAAAAAATCAAAGAACAGGCTTGAAAAATTTGGAGAAAAACGACAAAATTTACGGAAAAAAATTCTGAAATAAAAATAACTAATTTTCCTGGTAATTTTTCTAGTCACGATTATTTTTTTTAGTGCAACTTTGACCGAAAATAATGGATAAAATCGTTCAGAAAATTCAAAATCTAACGCAAAAAACACCAAAAAACGTCGAAAAATCAAACAAAGTGACAAAAATTTGCTGAGGACTGAGAAATGAGAAAAAGAAAGAAAAATCGAAAAATACCAACTTCCCTCAGGTTTTCTACTGCTTGAAAATAATTTTTTGTAACTCCAAGACGATTTTTCTCAAGCTCAAACTTGAATACAGTATAGTTTGAGGCATAAACAGAAAAAAACCGTCAAAAAAACGTGAAAATACCAACTTCGCTCGGGACTTTGAAGGCCATGAATGGGGCCCAACTTTTCGTCCTCAATGAGGCCTTTGGTCCAGAAGTCCGACGGGGAGCATTCGTCGTCCGAAGTGCCGGGCGGCGAGACGAATCGCTCGAATCCGCCGCGAATACAGACGTTGGTCGCCAGGTTGTCGTCGTCGTCGTCGAGTACGGGACTCGACAGAATTTTCTGATTCAGGGGCCAGCAGCAGTCAGCAGCAGCAGTTGTAGAGCGAGGAGGAGGAGGGAGGGGAGCCAACACAGTTGTCACCTCGCCAGGAAGTGGGCGGGGTCGCGACACACGAGTGGGCGGAGACGCGACCGCGACGAAGACCTCCCTCTTTTGCAGTGTGTTGATGAGATTTGAGGGGATTACTGTACCTTTTCGTTGTCTCGTTTTTGCTCCTTTTGAGGGCATTGATTACGTCTGCACCCGGGTTCCTTAGAATAGGACACTGGTTTATGGAATATTCCAGTCGAGGCGACGTGCCAATTTGATGAAATGACCTTTTCCTCGCCGCATTTCATGATTCTTGTCGAGATTACTACAGTTAGAAACGTGTTTTTGGACTCCTGGAGCTTGAGAATAGGTTATTCGGCTTCTGGATTAAAGAGAAAAACAGGAGTTTTTGAAATTTCTAATGAGATAGTATAGTTGGAAATGTGTTTTTGATCTTTTGAAGTTATAAAATAGATAATTATGATTCTTGTGGAGAGTAGTATGGTTGAAGACGTGTTTTTAAACGTCTAGAGCTCCAGAATAGTTAATCCGGCTTCTGGATTGTAGTGAAAACCGATTTTCGAAATTTTTGATAGAATTAGTACGGTTGGAGACGTGTTTTTGAATTCCTAGAGCTTGAGAATATGATAATCGGCTTTCGGATCGAAGCGAAAAAGTTTTTAAAATTTCTAATGAGGATAGTATAGTTGGAAAAGTGGGTTTGATCTTTTGAAACTATAAAAATAAGTAATTATGATTCTTTTTTTTGGCTTTTTGAAGAGAAAAGTGGAAGTTTTACATAGTTTTGATAAAAATAGCATGGTCGAACAGAATTTTTGGTCTTCTGGAGCTCCAAAATAGATTTTCCGGTTTCTAGAAAGGAAAATTGGAAGCTTTCGAAATTTTCGATGAGAATAGTACAGTTAGAAATAAAAAAATGTTTTTTTGAGCTTCTGGATTGAAGCGAAAATGTGAATTTTAGGAAATTTTTTTGATAAAAAAATAGGTAGTTTAGCCTCTCAGTTATTGAAGAAAAACGCTCAAAAAGTTTTTCATGATCGATTCCAAGAGCCTTGTTGAAGTTTTTTTAAAAAAGTATCTTAGCTTTTCAAGCTTGAAAAATAGGTTTCTTGGTCAATTCATCGTGCTTTTTTTGAAGGTAGATTTCAAAAATGACGGCTTTAAGATCTCAAAAAAATGATTTTTTTCAAAAAAATCGAAACGCTTTACAGGAACTTTCAAGCTTCTCAGGGATATAATCGAATTTAAATCAGTTTTTTTATTGAAGCATTTTTTTAAACTGTAGATTAAGGCTTCACGGTCTTCATAAATACCAAAAAAAGTCGAAAAAAAGTCGCTGACTCAATTTCTTGGGCTTTATCTAAATATATATACTAAAAAGTCGTGAGTTTCACTATTCTTTTCAAGTATTTTTCTCAAGATTGATAATTTTTGAATGCTTCTTTGGCCTGAAAATAGATAATTCAGCCTGTTTTTCAATGTTGTTTTTAGAAAAAATGGAAAATTATTGGTTAATTAAATTTAAAATAGTTTTTGACGATTTCAGAGATTTTAGAGTATATTACACCTTCTTTTTGATTTTCCAGGTGACACCCGGACATTTTTTTAAAAAATTTTTTTGTAGTTAAGGTTTTTTTCAAGCCCTTCAACATGTTGAAACTGATTTTTGAAAAAAATACACTCTAAAAAAATTCAGAAAACTGCTTTGTGTACCTCAAAAGACCCAAATATAATTTAAAATATGATAAAATGTAAAAAATTAGCCCCTGAAAATCACCTTTCGCCCCAAATTCCTCCCAAAAGCCTACCAATTCTCACGCGGTTCGCAACTTTCTCAACCTCAAAAATCACGTGTCGCGATACCAAGAATTAACACTGAAAATGTATTTTATAGTCTCCCACGTACTTTTTCGTGAATCTAGTCCGGTAAGAAAGGAAGTAGAGAAAACAAAAAAATCGTCTGATAATTTCGGAAAAATGTTGCCTTCTCATGGGAAGGCCAAGTCTCGTCGTCGAACAGCAAAAAATAAGGAATTATTAAGATTTAAAAATAAATTGGGATCCATTATTAAAGCTAATACTTGTTAGGAAATTCCTGAAAATATAAGAAATGCTCAAATTTCATCAACTTTCCGTTGAAAATGCATTCCAACGATTCAAGCTCGATTTTTTTGAATTTTTCTGGATCTCTTTCATACTTTCAAAAGATATAACATTTTAGATCTTCTAATTTCCATCCTTTTTCTCATTGAAACCCTATCAATCAAAAACAACTCAGAAAATCGTTCGGTCGGACTTTTTTCTAGATTTTTCAGGACCACAAGACGAGACAATTTCGAATTTGAACTGAAAAACCATCAAAAAAGCCTTTATTTCGAAATTTTTGGCTTAAAAAAGACCTTGATCACAGTTTTTCCACTGTGAAGAACACTTAAGTAATCACTTGAGGGGTCTTCTTTTTCTTAATCCTAAACCTAAAAAAGGACAGTTTTCGAGATCGAGAAAACCCAGAAATTCGAATAAATAAGAAAAAAATCTTAAATTTGCTCTATCGATCGTGAAGCCCTCAAGAAATCACTTAAGGGGTCTTCTTTGTTTAGATTTGAGGATATAAATGCAAACAAATTTGAGGTAAATTGACTTATGACTTAGAAATCGCTCTTGTTTCGAAATTTTTAGGCTCAAGAGACCTTTCTTACAATTTTTTTTCACTGTAATCATCGTAAAGCACTTAAGTAATCACTTGAGGCTTCTTTTCCTAGATCTTCGAGGACTTTCAAGGTTGATAATTTTTAAAGTTATCTCGACCGCCAAAAAGCTTTAAATCGCTCTGATATCGAGTTTTTCAGCTTCCAAAGACCTCCCTTACAATTTTTTTTTCACTGTAATCATCGTAAAGCACTTAAGTAATCACTTGAGGCTTATTTTCCTAGATCTTTGAGGACTTTCAAGGTTGATAAACTTTTAAGTTATCTTCACCATTAAAAGCTCAGAAATCGCTCTTATTTCAAAGTTTGCAGCTTCGGGAAACTCTTTTTTCTCCCTCGACTCATCATAAACTCCTTAGGAAACCACTTGACTCGGAAACTTCGCACGCCCTCCCAAGTACGGACAATGAAAACACCAACAATTAGTTTGTCGTCGATTAAGGGAGTTTTGGCGGGGCGAGGAGAGGTGAAGCGTACGGGGATCTATACAGGGGCAATCTGGCAGAATCTGATGTTCTGCGTCTTAATGAATCTCCTTCCTTTTCTTCTATTATGTGGACGGGGCCAGGTGCTTCCAATAACTTCTTTCACAATAAAGTTACTGGTAGATTTCTCTCGATCCAGTTCAAAAATCGGAACTCCAACTTCGATCTGTCGGTCTTTTACTTCAAAAGAAAATTCTTTTCGAAGATTTCTGAGCTTTCTCTGGAACTTGAAAAAATGATTAGTTTATTTTGCTTTTTCTTCTCCTTTTTCAAGAACTTTGGATTTTTTTTTTACTTCGGAACTAGGTTATTTTCTGTGAGTAAGATGAGACGAAATTGTCATTCTTCAATTCCAAATTTCAACTACAGAATCACACAAAATCTATAATTTTTTTCAACTAGCTGGGAAAATGTTTAGTGGCCACTATAGAGGGTTGCCAAGGACTACTTGGAGAGGACACTAAAGCGGCCACTAAACCCACCTCTACAGTGTCCACTATTCTCCGTTTTAGTGGCCTCTATAGAGGTCCTTTATTAAGTGGCCACTTCAGTAGTTTTCGATCCAGTGTTCCTTTCAGTAACTCTGATAATTGAAAAAGATTGGACCAGTTATATTTATCCATTGACCCCTAAAGTGGCCACAAAAAATTTTAGTGGTCTAGTAGTAGAATTTAGACCTCTATAGTGACCACTAATTTTTAACCCCTTAAGTCGCCACTAATTTGACTACTATAGTGGCCACTGAAACGTCAAAACCCTATAGTGGCCCCTAAAAATTTTCCCAGTAGTAATTTTCTTTTCTTCTTTTTTTCTCAGTTCAAGTTTTCATCCTCTGGTAGCATGATGTACGTCTCAACGCGTCGCAGTCAACTTCTGACTCAAACCGCAGCGCGTCGAGCCATTCCAAATGCGACCAGAAGTCTTCAAGTCTTCTGATTCTTCTGCACCTTATTTTTTTTCTTCTATGACCTCAGCGCCGAGAGATAAGAGAGCGCAGACAAGTCAGGCTGTTTCGAATCGTGCGACTAGAATATTCGGTCATTTTCTTCCATTTTGACTCCACCAAGAATCAGTATTATCATGTGATTGATGTATCCAGAAGAGGGGAAGAGAAGAAGGAGAAGAACGGCTGGTGGCACGTGGGGACAACGTAAACCGATAGTTTCCGTGTTGGACGCACAGACGGCTCTGCTGTTTTGGCACAAACGCATCCTTGTTTGGTTTGGACTTGCATGACATACACACACACGCGAATACACGGCTTTATCTTGCATGAGTTATGAGGGCCGCTTTGTACGGTAGCAGTCGTTGTGAAATGTCGATTGGATTGGAGCAAAAAGGCGGGATTTACGATTGGAATTCCAGAGTTTTCATGACAGATCTTCTAAAAACCTGGAGTAGAGGGTACTAGGTGAAAGTATTGAAAAAAAGAAAAGAATTTTCTGCTGGGCGCTAGAAAATTTTAAGCAAAAAGGTCAAATAGTTCCAGGAAAAGCTCAAAAATTTTTTTTCTCAACCTTTTCCCGGTAACCAATAAGGCTTATCAGATGAATTTTTATGTTTTGTAACAGGGCTACCTACCACACAGAACATCGGACTAGATCTGCAATTTTCACCTCAGATACTTTCTTGTTAGATAAATTTAATGAACTGATTCAAGGGACAAAGAGCTCTAATACAAACTTTTTTCATGATAAATGCCGTTCTGAAGTTATTAGAAGTCCTATTAACCTTCTTAGGGACCATTACCATTTCTCTGCTAAATTTTTAAATATTTACCAAATTTTTTTGTTGGACTGGTTCCAAAACTACACTTGAAACTCCCCAAAAGGCTAATTAAAGTTTGAAAAAAAATATGACCGAACGGATACTGACCTTGAGCATGTGAACAACTTCAAAAAATCATATCTTGGCTCAAAAATGCTTTTGACGCTAAAAATCGAGGTTTCCTGACTTTTGAGGTCAGCAATTCCTAACTTCTGGGCTCAATCGGACAGACTGACTTCATCAAGTATTAAATTTATTACTTTTCCATCAGTATTTTTGGGTGTGCAGCGTAAAATAAAATAACCACTGGAAAACTTACGCCAAAATCAAGCTCATGACGTCTTTTTCGTCACAAAATGTTATTCAAGCTCAACTTAGGAACGCCATAGTGGTCACTACAGAGGTTAGGAGAAGAAATAACCCCTTCAGGGAACAAAAAGTGGCCCCATGTAGGGCCGACCTCCGACCTCTCTAAAGCTTAACAATACCCCAAAAATGAACCTAAATGTTTACCAAGTTTGCCCCTATAGAGACCACTCGGGAATTTCTGAATAGCTCTTCTAAAATTTATCAAACTGTCACGAAATTCGCGTCAATCCCGCGTCAATTGGCGTCTTTAGTGTCAAATGATTTTTTTCCAAGATTCTCAGAAACCTACTATTTTCCACCAACATCCTTTATCTTCACCAACCACACCACGACACCAAAATCACCTGTCCAGCCATAGAAAGGGTAGTGATAGTAATTCATTCAGACCGAGGATCGATATATGGGGAATTCTGAAAAACGACCAGCATTTTGCAGAAATGAGAGCACGATGGCGAGAAAAAAGGGCGACGAGAACATTTTTCGACAAAATGACCGAAAAATCTGGCTTGAAAATCCTCGGAAATCCTCGGGCTTAGGCTCCCTTGCCGATAATTTTTTTTTTCTTTTTCGAGTCGCTTTCAAGATTAAGTTTACGGTGCAATGTTGTGATTACAGATCGGCTTAGGTGTCCGGAAGGCCTTTGTTTGGAAGATGAGGGGAAATTAAATAATGCGGAAGAAGTATGTCGGTCCAGAAGTTCAGAGATCCATTCTTTACAAGTTGTCGCACTTAGAATGACTGAATGCGTCGCGGTCGCGCTGCGGTCCGAGATTTTGTCTTGGTGTTTTTTTTTTTCAAATGTTGACAAATACTGTGGAAAAGTTCACGACAGCTTGTCACGTTATTTTCCGCCCAAAAACGGTATTCCAAATTTCGCGTTGAGACCTGTATTTTTTTTTTGAAGGGTCCGACGCGAAGTCGCGAAAAAAGCTCATTTTACGGTAGCTTTTTTTTTGGCTGTGTTGAAAAAGTGACTGTCTCACGCGAAAAAAATGAGATATCTTTGTTTGAGAAAATTTTTGGCACTTTTTTGAAAAAACAGACTTGATCCTAAAGTTCTCCTGGCGGTATTTCCGGTTGAAATCTATCAAATCTACTTTTTTAGAGCTTTTTCAAGCTTGGACCCCGCCCCCCAATTACTAAAAATATCCCTATAATGGACCCAAAATGCATTTTCTACACATCGAAATAACCTCTTTGTTCGGAATCTTTGTCCAAAATCGATCAAATCCCCTTTTTTTTTCCAAACTTCAACTCCTGTAGATGAACTCTTCTCCAACCCGGCGTTCCTCAAAACCGAATATCCTCAGCATTTCCCAGAGCCCTTGAAAAACTCTCCGGCGAGAGAGGGGGGAAACCAGAGGACGAAGCTCGTCCTCCAAACATGGAAACGCGAGGAGACGTCGGCCTAGATAGAATTTCGTTTTCGGGTGTTTGGGCCCTGGGGCGACGCCGGTGGACATATCTTCTGACACGAGAGGCTCTCTTCTAACCGCACAACCAATCACGCCGATTGCTCCCACAATCCGACACGTTCTTTGCCTTTTTTATGAGGGGCTTTCCAGACAAAAAAAACACGATTGCTACAGTAATTGGAAATTTTGACTCTCAAGGTAGGTTATTAACTTTTCGGTTGGGAGGCCATTAAAAATTGGCCAGAACTATTCTTGAACTTTTCCGCAACTTCCTCCTTTTGAAAAAAGACGCCTCAAAGTCACAAAAAACGGTCAAAATCCATAAAAATAGGCTAGTTTTGATCCCTTATTTCTCGAAAACTAGGAAGTTGTTCCAGTTGAGACTTTCATCGATCTCTATCTGGTACATCAAGAAGTGTTCTGGCCGATTTTCAGGAAATTCCCAACCGTAAAATGACCTCCCCTCGGAAAGCCTTAACCTTCTTAGTCTTCAAAAATAGGGTTCAGAGCTCTAAAAAGACTTAATTTTTTTTTACGGATTTCGAGGACCTTCAGGAGTCCTTTCTGAAAAACTAGTGATTTCGGGACCTTTTATAGTTAATCCATCAGCGTTTCAAAAAATTCCCAGCAGAGTTAAATGACCTTCCTGGTCAGAACCTTATAAAAACACTAAGAAAAAAAAAATCCGAAGAAGCTTTAAGTGAATATCAGAACACACATGCAAAGACATGCAAAGAGTCAAAAACTTTTAACAAGAGAAATTTTTCTAGAAAAGACCAACATTTGTAAAAAGTAATTGAGAAAATAATTAAGGGCGTGAAATTCTAAGAAACTCACAAAATAGGTTCATATCAAAGTATCAGGAACCTGTGGAAACTTACCACAATCAGACAACTTTTGGCAAATTTCAAGGGATTTCAACTCGTTTTGAACCAAAAGAAAAATTGAAAATTTTCACAGAGTAAAAATTCGGAAACTGGTTCGAAAACGACCAAATAAAATAAAAATGCTATCAAACATCTTAAGAAAATGTAAAAAAACTCAAACTCGAAAATTGGGAGTATTTCTGTTTGGGAAAACGCTTCCAGGCTATCTTCTGACTTCAAAATCGTAAGATTTTGGGGAAAAAAGTTTAAAAATTAGAAAAAATATTTCCTTCGTAAGCAAAAAAAAAAGAAAAAGGTAGATTTTTGTCATCAAAAGCACCTTTTTATAAAGAAAAAGCTTCTAGGCTACATTCAAGCAGAAAATGGAACCAAATGATTCGATAAAATCGTCATAACTTGAAGAAAACTTCACGATATCACTTAGAGGAATCACATTCACATCCGATTCAAGTTCGAAAAGACGAAACCGAAGTAAAATTTGAGCAACTGGAAAAATTTTTAGTGGCCACTATAGGGGTCAATGGTCATCATAACTGGACCAACATGTTTTTTTTGAAAATTATCAGAGTTACTGGGAGGAATACGGGATGAAAAACACTGAAGTGACCATTAAATAGAGAACCTCTACAGTGGTCACTAAACATTTTCCCAAAATCATATCTCTCGATCTAACAAAAAAAAAGCTTTCAGACCACTTTTTCAACTAAAAATGAAACTGTAAAGTTCGGAAAAAGCAACAAATCGAGCTCAAAAACGACGAAAAATAATGTAAAAGTGCAACAAACAAGATCTATCAGAGCTACTCCCTCGCAAATTTCACACAAGATCACATCGAATCCCGGGAACTGGTAGACATATTCCCAGGGCGTCAAATCGTCTGGAAAATATCCCAGAAACGTGCCAAAATACTTCCAAATTTCCTTTTATTTTTCTCGAGTCATTCAGATGGAACTATTGAAGTAATCAACGTGGGAAAACATTACAATTCGATTCCCGTTTCAAAGTATCAAAGGTTGGGCATCAAAGTATACTGAAGTTGCTTTGGCTCGGCGAAACCCGTTTCAAGTCGGAGGCACTGGTGAAAGAAAAGCAGCCAATGTTTTGCCTTTGAGAATTGCTTTTTCTACTCTTTTGGTTTTATACTTTTGATTTTTCTTTTAATATTTTTTTGAAAAGTCAGTAATTTTTAACTATTTTTACTGAAAAAGCATCGAAAAAGATCGCGACGCGCTTATAAATTAGTGCACCCGACTTGGAACGGTTTACCCTCAATGGCATTTTAATGTATTTGAGAGGTTCCTGGTCCAATTTACAAGTAAAATGGGATTTTTTTGAAAATCAAAAAATTACAACTACCATTTTTATACAATTTGAACGTATTAGATAGGATTTAAGGTCAGTACTATCAAATAAATGAGCTGAGAAACTTAAAAAATCAGTTTTTCGCTGGAAAAGTTGGGATAATCGGGAAAAAAATCGATTAAGCCCGGCCGAAATTGAAATTTCCTACGGTAGCTTTTCAATTCTTGTAATTTGAAAATCCGCTCTTCCCTGTTCTCTAATGTAAAGTCGACTTATGACACGATCAATTTCCACCAGACTCTCTTTTCAACAAAAAAAAAAGCTTATTCACGGGTCAGCCGACCAAAAAAAGCATAAAAACATGGAAATCAAAACAAACGGGAACTTCGACCGATAAGTAGATGATTCGGAATGTCAAGGGGGCGGTTAAACGGCTCTTCGAAACGGGGAAAAAAAAAGAGAATGTACATAAATTCATCACTTTTCTGATCCTGCCAAGAGATTTTGCAAAAGTTTTGAGTGCTCCTACGCAAGCAAGAAAATGTCTTTTGATCTAAAAATAGGTGAAATTACCGTACTTCTGAGGAAAAGTTGCTATAGAAAAAAGAGCTGCGAAGATTTAATGAAAAAATCTCCGGAAGCTACAGAAACCTCACCATTGGCTTGAACGAGAGAGTGAAGAAAAGGAGAGACTTAGACGGTTCCACAGTATTTTTTGCAAAGATAACGGTGAATAGAGTATTGGAAGAAAGAGGTGAAGAAATTTGGATCAGAGCCAGAAAAACAAAAATGAAAAATGAATCCCAAACCGATCGAAACCCAAAAATCTACGTTTCAACTTTTCTTTTAAACATTTCTAAGTTAGTTAGAATCGTTTAATTGCCGTTGTATTACCAATATGATCCAGAATATTTCCATTTCGTATAATGAAGGAGAATGATTTATTCACATGTTAAAAAACCTCAATTTGAGCTTGGAATGAGAGAATCAGGCTTAAAAAAAAATGATAAAGCGACTTTAAAACTAGAAAAAATCAAATAATCATCCCGGAAAAACTAGTGATGAGATTGATTTAATCGAAGAAAAAATAATCTTTTTTTTTCTTCGATTAAATCAGCCTAGAAGGAAACTCAAGCTACCTGACCCTTCTGAGACTTTTTTGAAACCTCAAATGATTTGATGAACCTCTAAAAAACTGTACAGAAAACTGCCGACCAATCAAAAAGTCTTCAAAAAAGTTTCTCCGAATGTTTCTGTCTCCCTAAATACCAAATCATTCATAAAATCCTCAAAACAGTCATAGAAATCCCGAAAAAACAACAAGACGTCATATCAACAACTGGTGACGCCCATTTTGGTTGGCCCCAGGAAAGGTGAGATAATGCGGACGGAAATAGTTGCCACCGACGTTTTTCTTCTTCGGAATAATCCCGACGTCACTTCCACGTACATTTTCGCGAGCGAGGGTGTAGTCCAGATGACTCCCTTGAGCCGAACATCCGCCGGTCACTTAAGGGGCTTAAAGCGGGACGGCGGCCGGTCTCTCCGCAAAGTCAGTCGAACTATCAACCGAATCAGCCGATTGGTGAGTTTCCAGATGGCCACTTTAGGGTTTTGACGTTTCAGTGGCCACTCAAGTGACTAAGATTCAGTGGCGCCTTTAGAAGTCTTATCGGTACTATTACACTACGAAATACTACTGTAGTGGCCGCTAAGACGCAAAATAGTAGCTTCTATAGAGGTGGTTATAGTGGCCACTTGAGAGGGTAAAATTAGACCACTAAAACCACTGTAGTGGCAACCAATCCACAAAATAGCGGCCTAAATAGAGACGGTTTTAGTGGCCGCTATAGTGTCCTCTCCAAGTAGCCCTCGAGGAACCTCTTAAGGGGCCACTAGAGATTTTTTCCAGTAGCTTTTTCTTAGAAAATTGATAGATATTCCGCACTTTGTGTTGTGTAGCGTCCAACTAGGTAAAAAAATTCGGGAAGCAATAAATTTAAAAAAGGGAAATATTGTGTAGAAACCGGAGAGGTCTACAGTATTCTAGGCATTTCGAGAAGATGAATATATCATAATTAGATTCAAATTTTAAGAATCGAAAAAAGGATATATACACTCAAATAAAACCTTGATCGGGATAAAAGTCAGATATATATTTTAACGGAACTGGAAAAGATCAAAAAAAAAATTTCCGAGGTTCATTGAAACTTAAATTTCAGAGAAGACTGAATTGGAGCAAATTGAAATGTGTTGGAAAGGTGTTGACAAACTGAAAAACGCGGGAAACCTCTTGGCCTGAGTAATTCGGTATGACCAAGACAGGATTTGATGAGGATTTGTCAGTGTTTACGTAGAAAGTAACACCGAAAGCCGAGTAAACCTATCGATTTTCGGAAAATTTAACAACTTCCGTGAACATTTTTGACGGCTTTTGAAAAAATTGTGAAAAATTCAGAACCGTGTTAGATGGGCTTTCGATACACGAGGTTACTGAAAAAAAATTCTCGATTTTCTAGGAAGCATAAAATTTTTGAAAACGAATTATTAATTCAAAATCGAGCCGCAGCGCGACCGCGACTCATTCGATCATTCCAAATGCGACCAAGAAGTTTTAAAATAACTTTTTGTAGCATAAACTTGAAATTCAATGCGTTCATCCATTTAAAAATGCGACCAGAAAGTTTTCGAACGCCTTTTGAAAATCAAACTCGAACCGCAGCGCGACCGCAACGCGTTTGACCATTCCAAGTGCGACCAGGAAATTTTGAAACTTTTTGAAAACCAAACTCGAACCGCAGCGCGACCGCAACGCGTTTGGTCATTTTAAATGCGACAGAAATATTTTTTCAGTATAATCAACCACTGGAAAAACAACATACAAAGTTAAGACTCCATAAAAAAACCTTCTGGTCTCAAAAAAAATCCTCTCATATTTATTCCTCACTCAAAACATCAATCCACAGTACTTGGAAAACCTTCTTATCGATCTTCTAGAACTCCACGAAACTCATCTCTGACGCTTTCCAACCCACGAAAAGTGACCGAAAAACAAACTAAAAAGGATATAACTACAAGAAAAAAACAACGTGGACCGACCGACGCAAGATTAATCCGGAAAATCTCTTTCAAACTACTAAAAATCAGAAATTCAAGAATATCAGAACAAAAAGGTATAGTATTTGGGTGTAAATGACCGTGGAAAAAAGACGAGTAGGTAAGTAATCTGTCGCGTAAAAGTGCGCTAAGCGGCTTTTTGAAGATGACGTCCAGAAATGACGTGAGATTCGCTTGATATTTAAGGATTTGCTCGTTGTCAACCAGAAATATTTCAATTCCAGTGCCTTTTTGGAAGATTTTTTCCCTCATCCAACTAGAAAATAGTTGTTTTAAACTAATAAACGAAGAAAATCGCATTTTCAGTCAGTTCCGTGAAATTTCTTAACATTAAAGGAGCATAGACTAAATTTGAGCCTTTTTTTCAGTGCGGTGCACCTTTAATTACACAAAAAAGGCCCCAAAACATATTCTACCCCTACAGTAACCCTTGAATTGATGATTTTTCACAGTTCGGTACTTCAGAACTTTTTCCGTTGATTTTTTTTTCCTTATAATCGGTCCGAAAATCTTTTTAACGTTTTTCAAAGGTGCATAAGTTCTTTGAGAAAGTTCTTCACCCCGGGACCTTTTTCAAAAATAGTCCATGCTCCTTTAAACACCCGAGCAATCTTATTTAATGAACTGATTTCAAATGTCCCATTCTACTATTGAAACTTATTTTTCACTACCGAAAATTTTTTTTTTGAACTACGGTTTTGGTTGTACGCGACGCGTTTTCAAAGCCAATTTAAAATTTTGCGCAATTTTTAATTTCGCCTAGCTTCCCCTTAGAAATCGTTGATTTTTTACAATAAATAACTTTCTTCGAAAAGTACTATTGCCAAAATCAAAAGCATAATATAATGAAAGAGACTAACGCGATTCAAATTGGCGCCAAAAACGCATCGCAGCCGCGTCGCTCATGAATCGCGAAAGCCGTACATTCTCAAGTCGAGAAGAAAATATTTTAACCATTTTTTTTCAATATCCTAGCGATAGTCGTAAAAATCAAACTTCAACCGTTCGAACTTTTTTTTAGAAGCTTCAGAACCATTTCCTTCGATGCTCGCAGCCTTCCCATTCACCTTTTGTCTCAAAATTTCAGGAATATTAAAGGCGCATGCCCAAAGGCAGGTCACGAGCATCGAAGGGAAGGTTCCTGTAACTCGAAGGACAATAAAAATCGTGGCAAGCTTTCTCGGGATGAGCTCCATACTCACGTTTGAGGTGCCGTGTGATCCGATCTTCTTCGCAGGGGAAGAAAGTCCAGGATCCACAGAACATCGAATTTTCGTAGGCCCAATCCTCGCCGTCAAGAACTTCGTTCACTCTCACCATCATGTCCATTTTTTGGCTTGAAGGGAGTTCTAGTATCAGATTTTTATTCTATTGAAAGTTCACAAACTTATCAACGTTCAAACTTCGGTAAAGAATGAAATATTGAGAAGATTTAAGGATCAAGTTCCGAGGCGTGAGGGAGCAGTACTGACAAAGGGGGGCTTTTTCAGGAAAAAAATTCAGAAAAATTTCCTATAAATTGGCCCCAGGACTCTCTGGAGGTTGGAATACTAGGTTTTTTTAGATTAGGAATTATAAATTCTAAAAAAATGGGTTTTAGCCCAAAAATTTTCAAGTTTTAAGATATTTCCAAACTTCAAATAAAAAAATAACTTTTGAGTGATTTTTTTGAAAAATCTGCGTAGAAGTGCCGCTGAAAAAAATGCTACTACGAAGATCTTCCAGAAATTTCAAAAAAATTTAAAATTCAATCGAAGTTTCAGGTGATTTTTGAAGGTTCCAGAAAAGCACTAAAAATATTATTTTTATTCAATTTCGATAGGATCCCTCAATGTGAAGTTTCCAAGTAGATTAGAACTAAACTTCTATAAAATTATCAAAAAAATAATTTCCGAAAAAAATCAACAGAATTTTGAAAGTTTAAAAAAACCCTATTTTCTCAGGGTTACTTGAAGAATTTCAAAAAAATCTCAAAAAGTCGCTTCCTTCAAACAACAAGAGCTTCAGGGAAAAAAATAATCAGTTCTTTACTTATAAATTTTTAAAAAATCAGCTCAGAAATGAACTGAATAATTAAAACACGACCCAAAAGCTCTCAAAAATTCAAAAATTCTCAAAAAATGAGATAAAAATAGGAAAAGAGAATAGGAAGGGTTTGAAACTGTAGCGATTGAGCCGTTGGGGGCCGTCCCGATGTGTCTCAATCGAAAAACGGTGTAAAATCAACATAGCTCCCCCGGCTATCCCCCACCTACGAATTACAGTAAACCGATATTATCAATCTAAACAAAAGTTGGGGGTAAAAATAGTTTTTAAGAATTTCAACGAAATTCCGTCTTTTTTTCCGAAAGGATACATCCGCTCAAAAATCCTTGTCTCTACTCTTGCATAACTCAAGAAACCCTTAAAACGTATCCTCGCTTCGAGACCTTTATGAAAATAGTCCCTGCGCCTTTAAGCAGGTCCGCAAAAGATTGTAGATTTTTTTTTTCTGATTCAGGAAAAAGTTTACTGCATTGAACTACCTTTTCGGTTCGAAATCCTGCTGAAATCCTATTGAGCTTCAAAACTCAAAGCTTTTATTACAACTGTCTCATTGAAGGCATAGGGGCAGTAAAAAACGGTTTTTCAGTTCAAAGCAGTATTTTGTAGAGTTTTTCATTGCGAATCGAACGGTGAACTTGGAAACCTACAGAAGTTCCTAGTTTTGGAGAAAAAATAATTCAAAGTCGGATAGAGGAAAGTTTGAGTTCCCGCCAAAAGGGCGCTTTGCAGTAAAGTTGCTCTATGGACAACACACTTCGCCATTTTTCGGATTTTTGCTTTTTTCTTCGTTTCTTTCAAATTTCAATGTTTTCTGTTGTCACCAAAGTTCTTTTTGTCCCAAAAACTTCATATTCATGTATAGTTTGCAAACTTTGATTGCGAAAATGCTTCTTTGGTGAAAAATGATGATTTTACACAGGTTTCGATTAGGATAGCGATATTTTGTGTTTTCTTTATTATCGGTGTGTGTGTGTGTTTTTTTTTACTGCCCCTATGCCTTTAAAAATCAATTTTACGGGCCCTCTAATCGATTATTTCCACTCCAAAACCTCCATTTTTGGGCCAAACTCTCTTGCCAAGCTTCAAACCGCGCGTTTTTTTTTTCCTACCCAACACCCGACAGTCGATTCGAATGATTCACAGAAGGAACCGACGCAAAAGCCGACGGCGATGGCGCCCCAGTGATAACGCGTCCATTAGCGCGAATGTCGCCACCCGACCAAAAACAACAAAAAAAACCTCCATGGGTTACGGTAGTTTGGCGGAGGAACCACGGGCAGGTTTTTTTCTTCTCTTTTGTTTGAGGTTGAGATTGAAAGGGTCCTCCGAAAAAATGGGAAGCTAGGGACTAACAATGCTGTTTCTGATAAAGTATAATAATAATCAATGACTATATCAAAAATATTAGACGTAAATGAAACGGGATTTTTTTCGAAATTTAAACATAACTTTCTTAATAGTTCATTTTCCACTCTCAAAAATTATTAAATTCCTGAAATTCCATTCTTTAAAGCTCCTTTTGCGTGAGTCGAAAAACGCTACAAAGCCGTCTAAACCTCTCCTTTTTGCGTACTCTTTCGCTTTTCGTTTCAAGACCTTTTTGAGTTATCTCTAGAGTACGGAACTATACTCAAAAAAGGAGGATGAAGCTTCTCTGGCATGAGAAACGGACCCTCTCCATTAAGCACACTATCTAATGATTCGAAGATTTTTTTTTCTCTAGACCCCGGTAAGTGAACTAACTAACTTCATTCAACAACGCTATCTTAAAACGAAGACGTCTGAACCTCTCTATCTAGCACACTCTCTCGCTAATCTTTCCAGAGCCTTTCTCTAGACATCGGTGAATGATAAAATTTTATTTTTCAAAGCTATCTTCTATATCTCTAAATCTCTCCTTTACGTACACTCTCTCGTTGGACTTTTTATCTCTAGGATGTGGTAAATGATATAATTTCTTTCGGAACTCATTTCCAACGGTTATCTCTAAACCTCTCATTTTCGCACCCTCTCTCGCTAATCTCTGCAGAACCGTTCTCTAGACATCGGTTATTGATAAAACTTCATTTTTCAAAGCTATCTTCCAACATATATCTCTAAACCTCTCATTTTTGCACGCTCTATCGATTATCGTACCAATTTTCTCTAGACATCGGTGAATGATATAGTTTTTTTTTCTAAAGCTATGTTCCAACGGAGATGTCTAAACCTCTCCTTTTCACACACTCTCTCGCTAATCTCTCCAGGACCTTTCTATGGAAATCGGTTAATGATATAAATTTTTCTTTCAAGTGCCATTTTCAAACGGTGATCTCTAAACCTCCCCTTTTCACACACTCTCTAGCTAATCGTTCTAAAACTTTCTTTCTGCAGAATGAGCGAAATACCAGTATTTTTCAAAAGCTAACGAGGCTGTCTGAACCTCTCTTTTCGCACATTCTCTCGCTATCTTTTCAAATCCTCTTTGAATTTTCCCTGACAGGAGTTCTCTCTAGACAGCGATGAAACACCTATTATCATCATTTTTCAAAAAAATCAAGTCGGTGAAGCTCCTTGGAACTGAGCATGAGCATCTGCGGTGCGAGCCTCTCGACCTCGACAAATTGAAGGCAGTTAGGGAGTGAGGCGGGAGCTCGACGGGTACGTGGCGGGTGACGGACAGCCGCCGTGATTGGAATTATAGTCAATTAGGTCTTGTGCCCCCATCCTTTCACATGTTTCCGGGGGGATTTTACTGGGGATTTGTAGTGACAATATTTTCTACAGTATACTCTTAAGAAAAAAATGGCTTCAAAAAAACGTTCATATCTCTTCTCAAAATTTTTCATTTCGTGTTCAAAGTGATTCCGCGAAATTCAAAATAACCGACAGAGAAATAACACGATAACTAAGTTTTGGAGAGTCAGAGATAATTTTGCAGTCCGTGGAGATCAATTTAATCAAGAGATCAAGAAAAAGTGATCCAAAAATCCAATTTGAAAAAGAAATCTAAAAAATTGATGAAACGAAAGATTCATAGTGAAGATGAGCTCGTAAAAATACACAGCAGCCGATTTTTTTTTCACGATTTTCTGTCTTTTCAGTTGTTTCCATGATTCGAGTATGTATTTAAAGAAAAATATATACTTTCTAGATTTGGAAAAACGATTTGAGAAAAACAGTTTGATAAAAAAATATTTCATAGAAAAAGGCTTGACAAATTGAAGAAAAAAAGAGCTAAAAGTCCAGACAAACTGATTATAAAACAATGCCAATGATTTTTAGAAAAGTCAAGAAAAATCTCCTGAATTTGAAGTAAAAATGACTCTTGGTGAATGAAACACAAGTGTAAATTCGACTGAATTCGACTTGAAAACTGGAAAATATGTAAATTACGTTCATTTGATTTCAAATAAAAAAAATCATCATTTATGACAAAAAAAAAAGTTTTATTCGAACTCTAGAGAAATTATCCTTTTTTTTTGTTGGACTCCCCTTGTATCTATGAAACGAATGAACGTAACAAGAATAAAGCCAGATCCTTCGAAAAAAAAAATCCAGTCTGAAGAAAAATCAAAAAGTGAAAATACAGATAACCTTATCAAAGTACAAAAAAGCTTCTTGAATTCTGACCTCGTGACAAAAAATAGAGATACCTCATCAAAAAACATCAAAACTGGGACCTCTCATTTTTTGGAAAGGTCAAAAAATGCGATGAATCAAGCCTCGCCGCCGCCAATCGAGCCAAAAGTTCATACGCGTCGGCTTTTTCGCAACGGCTCAAAGAAGCGGCCGAAAATGGCGTTACCTTAACGCGAAAGGACGCGAATTCGGCATACGCCATTAAAAAAAAGGAAGTTATTTCCAATCACAGTAGGAATCAGGGAGGGGCACGATACGGGCTTTTTCGACCACGATACGAAAAAACACTCAAAAAAAAATTCGAGACATTTTGCTGAAAAAGAATGTTTCGTCTCAAAAGTACTTGGAAACGACCGAAATGCGAAAACTGTGTAATTAAGAGATATTACACAAAATATAAAAATGCGCGTCGATTTGATTGCTTTCGGTGTGTTCCATCACGTCCGGAACACCATATTTTACGACATATTTTTATCTTTTAATTTTTTTTCTGCGTCTCGAGACGAGACAACATTGTCGTTTTTGACTGAGACGAAACAAGGAGGAATTTTCTTCTCAAAATGTCTCGAAAAACGTCGAGAATCGTCCTTCCCTAGTAGGGCTCAGCTGCTAAAACTCATTTCTAACGTCCGCGAGGTCGTAGGTTCGAGTCCCCCCGAGGTCGACCAAGCCTTTCATCCCTCCGGGGTAGATAAAATTGGAAGCTGCATGCAGCGAAAAGGCTCAAGCTCTGCCATCGGCCTGTGGAAAGCCGGCACCGTACTTCTTCCTACGACCTCTCTTGTACCTGATGTTCTACGAGCGAAATTCACAACTTCTCTGTCTAAGCCACAGCTCCTGCCGTCGTTTAAACACAGTTAAATCAATGAAAGTCGATTGCACATGTATTCTTACATTGAAGATGCAATAAACAGTTTTAAACAAACTAGTAGGGATCAAAGTACAGTAAAAGCGCATGATCGATCATTTCAATCACTTTTTTCGAAAAAAAAAAAGGCGTACCGGAAACGACGTCCGGAGACACCCAAGTAGCCTTTCCAGAAGCGTCGACACTGCATTCTTCAGAAATTTGCAGCAATTCCAACCACTTGAGAGCGGTTCGGTCAATCTAGAAGTTCAATATTATCGCAAAGAAGTTTTTTTCTTTTTTCATATTTTTCTGATGTTTATATGGATCTATACTAGCTTCCAAAACATTGAAAAATAACGATCTCCATCAAAAAAAAAATGAAGAAAAACTGAATCTCTCAAAAAACTGAAAAAGTAGAAATTTATCTGAACACGTATCTGTTACATTATCCACTCATAAATTTAAAATAACGTACCGTTAATTTATTTCACAAACAGTGGATTGTACATAAAAGAAGAAATAGAAAAGAAAAGAAAAAGAACTTTCAAATCGACTTTTTTCAAATTCGGTTGAATGTTCGCCCCACCGCACGGACTCATAGGGAGCTCTTGAGGGGAAATTTCAACTTGAATAAAAAATTTTCCAACCTTAATAACAAATAGAGGAATATCGATCGGACAGTGGATTTCGACGGCGAAGATGAGTTTCTCCATCCGCCAGCCGTTCATTTTTTTTCTGAATTTCTCTTTTCTTTCAAATTTAAATACCAATTTATTATTTTTTCACCGAGGAACAAGTTTTGCATTATACACAGAAGCTGTTGAAGAAAATTAATTGTCACGGTCAGTTTTTTTTATCAGTTTTGTTCTTGTTATCTGACTTTTTTGCTCAAGTTTATCGAGATTTTTTTTATCAGTCGGACTTTATTATTGATAACCGTCTGATGGTTGTCGTGAACACGTTTACTTTTCGTAATTTATTAATTTTTCAGGTTATTCGAACTTTTGCTAGAATTTTAAAAACTCGAAATGTCTTAAATTTCACTCGAGACGGTCAAGTTTTAAAAGCACAGCAGAAAAAAAGCTACCGTCCCGAAACAGTAAAAAACGAAGTCTTGAAGCGAAATTTGGTTCAATTTCGGTATACGTTGTTTTCTGGCAGAAAAAAAAGACAATCCGGCTCAGGACGGGCTTTCAGGGCAAAGTTTTTTTTCTTCGCTTCAAAGATTTTTAAAAATTTTTCTATGCTCCTTTAAACTTGACAAGGCTTGAAATTGAATAAAAATTCCCACTTTTTTACTCCTTTTTTCGTTCTAGACTAGCTTTAAAGTCTTGAAGTTTGCGCTCAAGTGAAAATATGACTTTTTTCGCATTTTCAGAGTGTAAAATTTGACTAAAACTTGGAATTGTGATGTATTTCTTCTGATCTAGGATCAGGACCTCTTAAATTACTTTTTTTGAAAAAAAATTTTTTTGAATTTTTTTAAACGGCACCTGGAACACTTTCCGAGCCAGTTTCGAAACTTCTATGTTTTTTCTTATTCAGTGGCGAAATTGACGCTGATAAACTGCTTAACAAAACGTTTAGACTAATATTTACTCAGAGGAAGAAGAAATGCGCGAAAAAGAGTATAAAAATGTTTGGACAAGATCGGCAAACATTACACCGTAAGGTGGAACAAAAACGGACCTTATATAGGCGGAAAAGCTTCGGAAATGTCTCGAAAAGCTTAATTTCATTTTCTGGAATGGTACGGAGAGGCAAATTTTCAAGCCACCTTCTCACGTTTTTTTTTTCTCCATTGTTAAGTTTCGCAAAAAAAAATTGCTATACGGTTTTGATCGAATTAGGTGGAATGTTGGATTCTGAGTCATATTTTATTTTTTTTTGGAAAAATGAGAAGAATATTTTTTTAACATCGGATCGAATCTTATAGAATATGAAAAGAGATACGTTTTTTTGTGAAGCACAAAAACCTTGGTTTTCAGGCTTTTTCATTTTAGAAATTTTTTTCGGAAACAATAATCATCACATTTTTGATTAAAAAGCTTAATTTATAAATTTAAGTTAACAAATATCTCTAGAATTTCGAAAAAAACAAGAAGAAAAAGCCCCTAAAAAAAGTACAAGAACTTCCTTACAAGTCTAAAAAAATACCAGAGGTTTCTTTTTTTGAATTTTTCGTGAAGCTCAAATGATTGCTTTTTTTGAGATTTTTTTCGATTTTGTAACTTTTTGAGAGGTCTTTCTATTATATTTTCGGAAGTTACAAGTTTGCCCTGACCATTTTCCGTCTCAAAAAAACAGCTCTAAAAAGTTTCAAAAGAAAATTTTGAATTTTTTTGACTTTCTTTACGGAAAGTTAAAATTTTAACATTTTTTTCCATAGGGAAAAACCGAAAAAAAGCCTATGAAAAATTACAGTGATTAAAAAAACTCGTATGTTAAAAAAATTTTTTCTTTTTTTCATTTTTTTGAGAATAGAGACCTTTTTGGGCTTTTCAGTTATCCCTTATCGAAATCCATCTTTTCAAAATTTTCACGTTTTCTTGATAATACATGTAAATCAGAAAGTCAGGAAACAGGTCTAGGAAGGTGTTCTAGCGGGAAAACTTTCAGTGGCCACTATAGAGGCTCGCCAAGGACTACTTGGAGAAGACACTAAAGTGGCCACTAAACCCACTTCTATAGTGGCCACTTCAGTAGTTTTTCATCCAGTATTCCTTCCAGTAACTCTGATAATTTTAAAAAAAAAACAGATTGGACCAGTTATGTTGATCCATTGTCCCCTAAAGTGACCACTAAAAGTTTTATTGGTCTAGTAGTAGCACTTAGACCTTTATAGTGGCCACTAAAACGTCAAAACCCTAAAGTGGCCACTAAAATTTTTTTTTAGCACTTCGACTTCTATAGAGGCCACTAACCTTTAAGCCTTCAAGTGGCCACTAATTTGACCACTACAGTGGCCACTAAAACGTCAAAACCCTATAGTGGCCACTAAAAACTTCCCCAGTAAAATAATCCTGGCGAGACTTTCTGCAGTTTATCTCTCATTTCCCATACGATCTACATTTTTTTGAACTATATTTCTTATATCTGACGGCTACCAACTCCACTCCTGCCAACCACCAACTTGATCCTCTTATTTGACTTTCGACACTGTATTGTCCATTGGAGCGTGCAAATTTGCGAAAGAGATGTGTGAGAGTGGGAGCACGTGCGCGCCAAGGCAACTTGCGCCAACAAGAAGTCATCTCGTGCTAAGCCCCCTCCGATGACCGTCGCTGATTAGGTCAGGCAGATCTGACAACCGAGAATTAATAAAGGCGAGGGATCGAAACAAGAAGCTCCTGGAAAAGATTCATTTACAGTCCATTCATATATAAATCACGGCGTTCCCAAACTTGGGGGGAGATAAATTTTGGCGCGAAAATTGTAATCTCAAGTACGCAGCCAAAGGCGATCGAACAAACAAGTTATCAACGTTTGATACTCAGCGTACTTATGACGTAGATTGACGTCACCTTATCCGAAGCGCGCACTTACTTTTTGTTTGTTAATTCAGAAACTTTGACGCCTCGAAAAAAGGCTCAAAATAGCCTTTTCACACGGTTTTCGACTTATTTCGAGGCCTTTTTCTAGGAAACTAGGAAGTTTTGTAGGCTGAGACTTTCAGAATCTTTTTAGGTGCATCAAAAAGAATTTTAACCGAATTTCAGGACTTTTTGAACCTCAGAAAAAATAATCTCCCTTGCAGGTGTGAACAATTGAAAATTTTCTTTTTTTTTATGATTTTCAGTGTTTTTTTGAGCTTAAACTTGCTTCAAAGTCAATAAAATTGCCCTGATATTTGTTTTATTGAATGAGCTAAGGAAAAATGCGATAAAATCCAAATCGGCTGTTTGAAAAATTGAAAAAAAAACCCATTTTATCAACATTTTCAGCGTTTTTCAAGCCTAAATTTGCTTCAACCTTCGGAAATAACCTTGACTTTTGCTTTATCGAATAGTTAAGGAGAATTGCGACAATTTCGAATTACCTGTTTAAAAATTTGAAAGAAAAAAAAATTTCATTTTTTTCATCATTTTTTATCGTTTTTCTATTATTTCAAGCCTTTAAAACGTCATAATAACCACCATTTTTCTGTTTTTCTTCTGCAAATCGGCTGGAGATCTCGTCAAGGTGTCAGGAACACCTCCAAATCGGATGAACCGGGCCCGATTTCCGGTCGACCGGCTCCCTGGGAAATCTTCACGCCAACACACCCACGCACAATAACGCAACATTCTCCACAACCTTGAGATATAATTCGTCTGCAATAGAAAAAAGTTTCTTATCTGGCGACGAGCCAATTAGTCCAGTCATCAATGGTTGTCAGGGAGATTATCGCTTTTTTGGGAATTTTAGGGATTTTAGGGGCTTTCCTCGACTTTTTTCGAACTTACCAACTTTGCAAGAAACAACTCTTTCTCTTTTTTGAAGACATTTTGAAAGGTTTTTTCAAGAAAATCTTGCTTTTTTTCAGGATTCTTAAAGATTTTCCTTGATTTTTTTCAAAACTTTCCAACTTCTCAAAAAGATGAGTGTTTATCTTTTTTTTGAAGACACTTTGAAAGGTTTTTTTCGAAAAAAGTCATGGTTTTTTTGGGGATTTTTTTGCGATTTTTCCTCGATTTTTTTCAAAACTTTCCAGACAAAATTCCTGAACATTTTTTTAAAAAAATAAAATCAAAAAGTTTCTTGGAATAATTTTTAAAAAAATCGCAAATAGCTATTTCTTAACGTTTTTTTCTGTTGTTTTGAAGACAGGTTGCAGAAATTTGTCAAGAATTTCATGGTTTTTTTAGTGATTTTTTTGATTTTTTTCAAAAAAATTTTCAGGCAAAATCTTAAAAATAAAATTGAAAACAAGATAAAAAGTTCCTCCAAACATTTATTAAAAAAATTGAAAAAAAGCCCATTTCTAACCAGTTTTTTTCTCTTTGTTTTTGAAGAAAGGTTGAAAGGTTTTGTGAAGGTTTTCATTATTTTTTTATGGTGTTTTTGATGGATTTTTACAAAAAAATCAGCTACTTTTTTTCTCCGAAAGACCTTTGAAAAATTTCCAAAATGGGTTTAAAAGTTAATTGACGAAATTCAGAGAAAAAAAATTGACCGAGTATCCAGAAAATTGACCTTTTTCGGCTACAGTACCACTCAAAAAAATTTATTGGTTTTTTTTTCTTTTCATTTCTTTTTTCATGTTAAAAAAACCACAAAAAAATGCCAAAAAGACTTCTAAAATTTTTTTCTCAATATCTTTTTGTTGGATGCATTTTTTTCAAGGTGATAAAGAGGCAATAAAAAAATCCAAAAAAATTTTTTTTGGTTTTTTTCATTTTTTTCGTTGAAAAAAATCCTTTTTAGGTGTTAAAGAAACGATAAGAAAAATTGAAAAAAACTTTTTTTAAGAGAAGGAAATATTGAAAATCCGCAAAACTAAGAGAAAACATGCTCTTGTTTTAAATATTTAGCATCACGACACCAATTTTTCAAACAATATCTTTTCAAAGAACAATAAAGCTTTATTCCAGGTGCATAAAAAATAATAAATCGAACGTAAAAATGCAATTGTCAAAATTAGAAACTTCAAATTAAGGAAAAAAAGAATCTACCCGTTCTAACCAGTTCTTTCAAATTTCAATTTGCAATTTTTCAATGATCGATACAGCAATGGATACATAAACCCTGCAATTTTTCAAGGTATAAATACATTTTTGATGGGAAAATAGCACCAGAAATTGGATTTTTTCGGGAAATTCCTTTCAAGGAGAAGGAGTAGAGGCGTCGGACTGTCGCCGGTCTTCCGGACACGTCGTCGGAACCGGCAAAAATCCATTTTTCTTCGATTTTCCGTTGATTGTCGGCGTCGCGTGTCGCGAAGCCGGGTTGAATTGAGACATGATCTGCAAGAAAAATATTGATATCTAATCATTTCATTTTCATTTATCCAATTACAAGCTTCACTAAACTATCAAGATATTAATCAAATAAATATAAATGGCTAGCGAAAATGGAATGTGAGATAATTTTTTTGAAGCTCTTTACTGGGAAAATTTTTAGTGGCCACCATAGGGTTTTGACGTTTTAGCGGCCACTATAGTAGTCTAATAAGGGGTTAAAAATTATTGGCCACCATAGAGGTCTAGGTGCTACTACTAGACCACTAAAAATTTTAGCGGCCACTTTAGGGGTCAATGGATCAACACAACTGGTCCAACCTGTTTGTTTTAAAACTATCAGAGTTACTGGAAGGAATACTGCATGAAAAACTACTGAAGTGGACACTAAAACGGAAAATAGTGACCACTTTAGTGTCCCCTTCAAATAGTCCTGGTGAAGCCTCTATAGTGACCAATCAAATAAATATGTATAGCTAGCGAAAATGGAATATGAAATAATTTTTTTGAAGCTTTTTATAGTCCCAAAGGTCAGTATTTCTTAAGAGAAATGAGATTTTTGTGAAGAAAAGTTCCCTCTCAAAATTTTAAACTATTTATCAATAAATTATTTAGAACTTCTTGCTGAATCTTCAAAGAAATCTTGAAAAATGGAGAGCGGCCTTTCGCCTTGAGACCTTTTTGAAAAAAATGACCCATGCTCCTTTAAAAACGGCATAAAAAATTTTGAACAGAAAGTTTGGATTTTCTGAAAAAGAGGAAATTAAGTTCTTTTTCAGTCAATTCTTCGGATAAAATTGAAAGAAAATCATTGGGTTTTAATTAAGATCTCAAAAAAATTTATTTCGGCTTCTCGCCTTGAGACCTTTTTTTGAAACGGATCCACGCTCTTTTAAAAAAATATACCAAAATTTTTTTAAAAAGCTAACGGATTTCAGAGTGGTCCCTTAAGGGGAAATACAGCCCCTGGCCAGAAAAAGTGGTCCCTAGAGGGGTCTTGCAGTTTTATTCAAAAAAATTTTATTTTTTTGTTTTTCGCATGGAGTTCATAAAAGTTATTGACTAGCATGTCCCCTACAGGGGCCATTAAGCTAAACCCCTAGAAGGATCACTTTTGCAAGCTTTAGTGGCCTTTATAGGGTTTTGTTAAAGTGGTCCCTAGAGGGGGTCCTTGAAAAGGCCCTAAGGGCCCACATTGGAGTTCCTAAGAGAGACTTATAGTTTGATCGATTGATTTTCATGAAACTCACATTTTTGTTCGTCGTTTTCGTGATCGGAGCTCCACTGTGATTCTCGCTCGACTGAGGACAACAAACCCCAAAAGTGTGCAGGAATTCTCTGGAAAATAGATATATTTCAAAGAATTAAAAAAACTCCAGGAGGTCTTTTTGTAAATTTTACTGGGATGAAATTTGAAAAATGGATTTATTTATAATTTTTTTGGACCTTTAAAATAACTTAGAAAAACTCTACTATTCCTTAGGCTTTTTTTGCGGATTTAAAAAAACGGTAAACTAAAGCTTGTTTTGCCTTGTAGACGCTATTTCGATCTATCCTGTGGATGAATATGAACATAAAGTATATGGCTCAGTGGCGCAGATCTTTAGTTAAGAGGAAGCAGTCGATGGTTCGACTCCGGTCAAGGTTTTTGAAGCGAAATGACCATCAAATCTTTAGATACTGTATATTTTTGAAATTTTTTTAAACTTTAGAAATTGCGCGCACTTCAACAATTGAATTTTCTCAGAATATGACTTTTTCCTGAATTTTTCTGTGAGCGAAATAAAAAAAAATAGATTGATTTTTTTTTGCTTTGTCTCATTTCAAATAGCTCAAAAGCTCAAGTAGTTTCAGGTCGGGACAACAAAAAAATCATTCCAAGTTAGAGAACACCTTCCTTGACCCGAAAAATAAGTTCATTTAGATTCGACGGCTTATTTCAGAAAATTATTGATTTACCTTCTGAAGACGTGGGACATCAGAGCGCACAAGACGAAATTAACAGCGCTATTGATCAGAGAAAGAAGGTCGAAAACTTCGTTGAGCTGCATCGTCAGGAACATCAATCGAGGGCTGACACCTGGAAGACGTTTTCTTTGTACCGTATCCCAAAAGTTTCTACAGTAACCCAAGATAAAGTCTACTCGAAAGTTTCCTAACGCTCTGACGTCTATAGATGACATTAAAGTTGTCTAGAAACAACCCATTATTCTTAGATGCGCAGGTGACCAATTTCCTACCGTAACCAGGGAATTTTCGAACAGGGAATGGCTCAAAAAGTTGCTGACCGTAGCATTGGAGAAAAATTCATCGAAATGAAGAGGCTTTTTTTATAATAAAATAGACAGTTGCTTGAATATTTTTTTCATGGATTTTTTTACTTCTAAAAAAAGACAAGAAAAAAATTACCAGCCACTAGAGTCATAATTCCCTGGGGCAACTCTGTGATGAGAAAAACGGCCACGATTCCCGTCAGCATCGCCGTCGTCCTTTCCGCCTGCAAATTCTAGCGATTAATTATAAATTTCCAGTTGGAAACTAAAAAAAACTTCCCAAAAAGAAATCACAAAAAAAGAGTTCCGACGTCTCTCCAGTGATTTTTTAAATATTTATGTATTTTTATTCTCTCTAATCTCGGTAACGAAAACCGGAAAGCGCCCCGGACGCTTCTGAGCCCTTCTAGGGATCACTTAAGAGTCCTGACGTCCCTCAAGTGGTCACTAAAAAATATCAGACAATTCCGGTTCACGTAAGATAACAAAAAAATATAATTGAATATTATTTTTATAGAACAGGTTTATTATTATTTTTGAAACATCTTTAACACTTTCATCGTCATTAAAAAAACTTATTCATAAGAAGTCCTGGCTTTCTAATTTCTACAGTATTTTTTTCAAAAAAGGTGTGAGAAAAAAACGCTTGTTCTCTAGAGTGATAACTTTAGGGGCGAAGGTTCCCTATAAAGCTTGGATAAGTGGCCACTCTAGGAAGCGTTTTTCTTTATTGAATTGAATCATAAAAACATAAAAAGACCTTTATAGGGGCCACTTAAGCGTTAGAGGCGTAGAATTCAGACCCCTTTAGGGATCCCTTGACTTTTACCCATACATGGGCTGCTTCTCAACGTAAGTACGGTCGAGTCACCTGTGAGTTTCCGGATCCGACTCCTCCACAAAGCCGGGATCTTCTTTCTCGGGCTTCGATCAGCATCCGAACCAGAAGGGTCATGAAAACCGTGAGCAGGATACACGGGATCAGCTTCAGGACCCACGCTGAAAAAGGTTTTTTTATAAACCTTAGAAATTTCCGAATTTCCAAAAAAGAGAAAAAAAATATCGTCCGATAAAAATGTTTTCTTATGCCAGTTTTGCAACGGAAATCAATAATTTTTTATTCGAGTATTTTTTTTCCAATGCTTCTTTTATTGCTCAGAAACTAGCATTACTCTTTTTTTCAAACCGAAATAATTTTTTTAAAAAATCCAACAAAAAAATTGTTTCTGGAGCGCTTTTATGAACTATTTTTAGAAGCTAAAAAAACGGAAACTTCGTAAAATTTTCATTTTTGGGATTTCCTGTCACTGATAGTCTATACCAAACAATTTGATGAAATTTTTCACATCGCTTGAAATTTTTCCTACAAAGATCCATTTTGTTTGAGACCGAATAGAACAGAAAACATTTTTTTGGGATTCAAGTTTTTATCGTAAAAAAGCTTCAATTTACCCTTCCAAGCGAAAATTTTGGGGTTAAGGGGCTCTAAAAGTTCTAAAATCATGAGGTTCTGAAGTACAATCTAGTCAAGATGTATTGAAATCTTTGAAAAAAAAACCTGCAGTGAAAAATTTTCAAGCTCTAGTTCTAGGGAATCTAGTGAAGAATTTGCTAGAACAAGTTGAAAAAAAAAAACGAACCAGCCGTCCAAAAATTGATCCTCTCCCATCGGCAGCCCCACCAAGACGGTTGCTCCAAGGCGTAGAAGACGATCTCGTCCGTATCGTGCCAATATCTGTGGTAGCTTCCCTTGAGACACATGTCCGGCACCGCCATCCGCTCGCCGGAGTCTATCTGCAAGAGAGGATTTCAGAAAATGTAAAATTTATAATTTTTTTAAAAATCCTACTTCTTATAAAAAAACCACTTGTTTGTTCGAAAATTTTGCAAAAAAACCCTTGGATCTTAGCCAAAAAAACCCTTGGATCTTAGCCAAAAAAAACCCTTGGATCTTAGCCAAAAAAACCCTTGGATCTTAGCCAAAAAAAAACCCTTGGATCTTAGCCAAAAAAAACCCTTGGATCTTAGCCAAAAAAACCCTTGGATCTTAGCCAAAAAAACCCTTGGATCTAATCCAAAAAACCCTTGGATCTTAGCCAAAAACCCTTGGATCTTAGCCAAAAAAACCCTTGGATCTTAGCCAAAAAAACCCCTTGGATCTTAGCCAAAAACCCTTGGATCTTAGCCAAAAACCCTTGGATCTTAGCCAAAAACCCTTGGATCTTAGCCAAAAAAACCCCTTGGATCTTAGCCAAAAAAACCCTTGGATCTTAGCCAAAAAAACCCTTGGATCTTAGCCAAAAACCCTTGGATCTTAGCCAAAAAACCCCTTGGATCTTAGCCAAAAAAACCCTTGGATCTTAGCCAAAAACCCTTGGATCTTAGCCAAAAAACCCTTGGATCTTAGCCAAAAAACCCTTGGATCTTAGCCAAAAAAAACCCTTGGATCTTAGCCAAAAAACCCTTGGATCTTAGCCAAAAAAAAACCCTTGGATCTTAGCCAAAAAACCCTTGGATCTTAGCCAAAAAACCCTTGGATCTTAGCCAAAAAAACCCTTGGATCTTAGCCAAAAACCCTTGGATCTTAGCCAAAAACCCTTGGATCTTAGCCAAAAAACCCTTGGATCTTAGCCAAAAACCCTTGGATCTTAGCCAAAAACCCTTGGATCTTAGCCAAAAACCCTTGGATCTTAGCCAAAAACTTGGATCTTAGCCAAAAAAACCCTTGGATCTTAGCCAAAAAACCCTTGGATCTTAGCCAAAAACCCCTTGGATCTTAGCCAAAAACCCTTGGATCTTAGCCAAAAACCCTTGGATCTTAGCCAAAAACCCTTGGATCTTAGCCAAAAAAACCCTTGGATCTTAGCCAAAAACCCCTTGGATCTTAGCCAAAAACCCTTGGATCTTAGCCAAAAAACCATGGATCTTAGCCAAAAAACCCCTTGGATCTTAGCCAAAAACCCTTGGATCTTAGCCAAAAACCCTTGGATCTTAGCCAAAAACCCTTGGATCTTAGCCAAAAACCCTTGGATCTTAGCCAAAAAACCCTTGGATCTTAGCCAAAAACCCTTGGATCTTAGCCAAAAAACCCCTTGGATCTTAGCCAAAAAACCCTTGGATCTTAGCCAAAAAAACCCTTGGATCTTAGCCAAAAACCCTTGGATCTTAGCCAAAAAAACCCTTGGATCTTAGCCAAAAAAACCCTTGGATCTTAGCCAAAAAAACCCTTGGATCTTAGCCAAAAACCCTTGGATCTTAGCCAAAAACCCCTTGGATCTTAGCCAAAAACCCTTGGATCTTAGCCAAAAAAACCCTTGGATCTTAGCCAAAAACCCTTGGATCTTAGCCAAAAACCCTTGGATCTTAGCCAAAAACCCTTGGATCTTAGCCAAAAAAAACCCTTGGATCTTAGCCAAAAAACCCCTTGGATCTTAGCCAAAAAACCCTTGGATCTTAGCCAAAAACCCTTGGATCTTAGCCAAAAAACCCTTGGATCTTAGCCAAAAAAACCCTTGGATCTTAGCCAAAAAAAACCCTTGGGTCTTAGCCAAAAAAAAACCCTTGGATCTTAGCCAAAAAACCCTTGGATCTTAGCCAAAAACCCTTGGATCTTAGCCAAAAACCCTTGGATCTTAGCCAAAAAAACCCTTGGATCTTAGCCAAAAACCCTTGGATCTTAGCCAAAAAAACCCTTGGATCTTAGCCAAAAAAACCCCTTGGATCTTAGCCAAAAACCCTTGGATCTTAGCCAAAAACCCTTGGATCTTAGCCAAAAAAACCCTTGGATCTTAGCCAAAAAAACCCTTGGATCTTAGCCAAAAACCCTTGGATCTTAGCCAAAAACCCTTGGATCTTAGCCAAAAACCCTTGGATCTTAGCCAAAAAACCCTTGGATCTTAGCCAAAAAAACCCTTGGATCTTAGCCAAAAAAACCCTTGGATCTTAGCCAAAACCCTTGGATCTTAGCCAAAAAAACCCTTGGATCTTAGCCAAAAACCCTTGGATCTTAGCCAAAAACCCTTGGATCTTAGCCAAAACCCTTGGATCTTAGCCAAAAACCCTTGGATCTTAGCCAAAAAAACCCTTGGATCTTAGCCAAAAACCCTTGGATCTTAGCCAAAAACCCTTGGATCTTAGCCAAAAAAACCCTTGGATCTTAGCCAAAAACCCTTGGATCTTAGCCAAAAAAACCCTTGGATCTTAGCCAAAAACCCCTTGGATCTTAGCCAAAAACCCTTGGATCTTAGCCAAAAACCCTTGGATCTTAGCCAAAAACCCTTGGATCTTAGCCAAAAAAACCCTTGGATCTTAGCCAAAAACCCTTGGATCTTAGCCAAAAAAACCCTTGGATCTTAGCCAAAAACCCTTGGATCTTAGCCAAAAACCCTTGGATCTTAGCCAAAAAAACCCTTGGATCTTAGCCAAAAACCCTTGGATCTTAGCCAAAAACCCTTGGATCTTAGCCAAAAAACCCTTGGATCTTAGCCAAAAACCCTTGGATCTTAGCCAAAAACCCTTGGATCTTAGCCAAAAACCCTTGGATCTTAGCCAAAAACCCTTGGATCTTAGCCAAAAACCCTTGGATCTTAGCCAAAAACCCTTGGATCTTAGCCAAAAAAACCCTTGGATCTTAGCCAAAAACCCTTGGATCTTAGCCAAAAAAACCCTTGGATCTTAGCCAAAAACCCTTGGATCTTAGCCAAAAACCCTTGGATCTTAGCCAAAAACCCTTGGATCTTAGCCAAAAAAACCCTTGGATCTTAGCCAAAAACCCTTGGATCTTAGCCAAAAACCCTTGGATCTTAGCCAAAAACCCTTGGATCTTAGCCAAAAACCCCTTGGATCTTAGCCAAAAACCCTTGGATCTTAGCCAAAAACCCTTGGATCTTAGCCAAAAACCCTTGGATCTTAGCCAAAAACCCTTGGATCTTAGCCAAAAACCCTTGGATCTTAGCCAAAAACCCTTGGATCTTAGCCAAAAACCCTTGGATCTTAGCCAAAAACCCTTGGATCTTAGCCAAAAACCCTTGGATCTTAGCCAAAAACCCTTGGATCTTAGCCAAAAACCCTTGGATCTTAGCCAAAAACCCTTGGATCTTAGCCAAAAACCCTTGGATCTTAGCCAAAAACCCTTGGATCTTAGCCAAAAAACCCTTGGATCTTAGCCAAAAACCCTTGGATCTTAGCCAAAAACCCTTGGATCTTAGCCAAAAAACCCTTGGATCTTAGCCAAAAACCCTTGGATCTTAGCCAAAACCCTTGGATCTTAGCCAAAAACCCTTGGATCTTAGCCAAAAACCCTTGGATCTAAGCCAAAAACCCTTGGATCTTAGCCAAAAACCCTTGGATCTTAGCCAAAAACCCTTGGATCTTAGCCAGCCCTTGGATCTAAGCCAAAAACCCTTGGATCTTAGCCAAAAACCCTTGGATCTTGCCCAAAAACCCTTGGATCTTAGCCAAAACTTGGATCTTAGCCAAAAACCCCTTGGATCTTAGCCAGCCCTTGGATCTTAGCCACCCGTGGATCTTAGCCACCCCTTGGATCTTAGCCAAAAACCCTTGGATCTTAGCCAACCGCTGGATCTTAGCCAAAAA